TCTCGTAGAAGGTGATCATGAACCATGTGATCCTCAGCCTGAATAAAGGCTGGATGGATAAAATACTGTCATACGTTGTTCTTTCTTGTTCAATAATTCATGCACTCTGTCGTTTTCTTAGACACTTTGTGTAGCCATCTCCCTTAGATGATCTTTGGTTTGTCTTCATGTTGTCATTGTAGCATGGACACCGATGAACCACAGACCGGACGTCCCAGGCACAGGTGTCTCTATAGTGGGCGTGCTGGACTTCTGTTGAATTAGGCTGATGCCTTTTTAAGGAGGTGGCTTTTATGCAGACACTTATTTTACTCTGTATACTTGTATACAGTGTTTTAGAATTAGTTTGTAAAAAAAAAAATGGGTTTTCACTTTGACATGAAGGAAACTTTCTGCCCAAAAGCTGTTTATGTTGAGATTTCATGTAAAAGAGTCACAAAACAAAACAGGTGAATTAGGGCTGTGCGGTATGGCCAAAAATCCATAACACGTAATTTATAAAGATTCTGCCGGTATCCGTTGTGTCGTGGTGTTAAAGAGAGTTTGTTGTTGTGACACGACTCAATCTCAACACACGTGAGACAAGTAGCTCCGACCGCTGGGCGCTCCTTCATGACGTGGACAAATAAATAAATAAATTGTGCCGCCTGCCGAAGAGCCGCGTCAGTTGTCACGGTGCAACACCGGTATGAACGGTACGTGAGAACTTCATACCGAACGCAGGTGTTATACCGCTCTCAACCGGTTCAGCGCCCAGCCTCTGAAAGTCTCGTCCGTTAGGCTTCTAGTGGCAGGTGAGTTGCTCGATATGGAGTTGAAGTATTACTCAGGATTATTTTGTAATTGTGGGGACAAAATACCTCAACTTTCATCATTCTATATGCAGAATGCTGTGCAGAAATATTGCGTGGAGAGGGACTGTACTGTTTTACAAGCCTTGTTATGGGGGTCTCACAAAGCTCCACCTGCACTTTCCAGTTCACCTGAGCATCAGTTGTGATTAAAGGTTCGAGTGTGGTGAGTTGTAGCTTCCTCTGTTTCTCATTTGTTATTCTTTTAAGGGTTGTATGAATCTATCTCACAGTGTAGGAGCATGTTGAAATCCTAAGTGAAGGAGGTCACCTGTCGAAAGAATGAATCTTACTGGTAAGACGTTCACCCCCCCCCAAGAGCTCACTGGTGGGCTCTGGATCCGTCATCCATTCGTCAGCTGTTGCCGTGCACAATGGAAGAAAGATACCGGGGAGCTGTCACATTGGAGAGTTGTGCGTTCATTTACTCCCAGGATGGCGGTGGGCTTCCAGCCCATTGAACCTCCATTGAGTGGTAACCCCTGTTTGAACCCTGGAGGGGGTCTGCGGGAGCCAGATGTGTCCCCTCCTACGCCTGTCGCTCCCATCCTTTACTTTCTTTTGATGAAATCTGGAGCAGTCTGTTAAGACTCCTCTTATACCTCATGGAGGCATAGGCTCACAGACCCCCCCCCAGTGTGTAAATGTGTGTTTTCTGGTGGTGCAGATGATGCTCACCCATGTAAATAATTGACTGCGGGTCGAGTCCTGGATGTCTGTCACGCCATCCCGGGTTTGTGTCCACGTCTCCCGTCTGCAGCCTCACGGAGGAAAATGTTTATAGTCTTAAACCGTTTTTAGTACGTCTATTTTTGAAGGAGTCGTACAGTGTGGAGAGAAGACGGTGGCCTACCTGATGGTGGATGAAGATTAGAGAGCACTGGTAAAGAGAACAAAGGCAACGTGTCATGAGCTCAAACACAGATGTGGTCCTCACTTCACCAAAGGCCCTGCTTCCTGTCTACGGGATGCTTCTCTTATTTGTAGCACAGGCACATTAATCTGAATTACGGCTCATTTGAATTGCGGAAACTCAAATGTAGCGTTGACAAAATAAGTGGGTCACGGGCTGTTCTTCCCCTCTGGGCCAGAAGCCGGTTTTGACGGCGATCCAAAGACTTTAGTTGAGCTGTATGCATCTAAAAGTCTAAAAGGAGCCATGGTTGGGTTTGGTTCATCTCCAGATGCAAATGTTCTGGATGGCGGTTTTTGGATTCCAGTGGTGCAGACGCAGTCCCTTGTGCTCCCATGTGAATGGACATGTGAATGTATGGTCGGTGGCAGCAGCTGTGAACGCGTCTGGTGAACAGTGGCGGCCTGTGCTGCCTTTACGTCGGCACCATCGCTCCGTACCGAGTCACCAGTAACGTCAGTAGCTTCTGGCTGAGTGCGTGATAGTTAACATGAGCCTCGTGCAGGAACATTTAGCCAAGATAATGTCATCTATTCTTTGTGAGGAAATGAGTGATGGAAACCCTGCGATGGTCCGTGGAACGCAGTGCACTCTGGGATATGGTGTTGTGTGAACACGGTCACTGGCACGGAGTCTCGCCTGCGTCCTTGTAAATGTAAATCACGCTCCTCAAAGACCCCTACTTCTGTTCTACTGTCTGCAGTCTGCAACCGCTACCAGCCAGACCCATTCTGCCATATCTGCCACCGGGCAAAAGCCATTTGGCATCATGGCGTAGAAAATATGACATGTGCTCATGTAACAACTTTAGTTGGTTGTTTTTAATAAATTATAGAACAAGAAAATAGGCAAACATTGACATTTAACTGCTCTCTCACCTGTTGTTATTCTGAAGGGCACACTGGCATGTGTAGGTCTGTAGAGAATAACTGAAATACATTTAACATCTCAAACGGAGTGAACAATGGATCACGGCCCCTAGCAGGTGAAGCACCTTGACAACAGCGTACTATGTGACTCATATATTACCTGACAAACGTAAAAGCATTTATTATTTATTATTTTCAGTGAAACCGTTTGGCATCAAACGTAAGAGGTGTTCCCTTTCAAAACTCGTCCATTGTGTAAAATATGAATAATTTAGTTTATTCTCATGTTTGCTCTTGTCAAAGCCTCGGGGAGCCTAAGCGGGGTGCCGACCCTTGACCTTTTCCCTTCAGGAGGAGGTCATGGTCCGTTTGAATGCAGGTTTCTTTGGCTCCGAGCCGGGTGGGACAGCTTCCATCACACACCCCCCCTTTTCTGTAAAGGGCAAAGCGTGTGTGTGTGTGTGTGTGTGGACACTTGATTGTGTGTCTTTTTCTCTGGCGTCACCATGGACGAGGAGAGCACGGGAGTTCGGCGTGACGTGGTGTCCTTGAGCTTCTGGCTGTGTTTGTGAGCGTTGTGAAGGACCTCCGGGTGAGCAGCCACCTTCACGCATGAATGAGGGTTTCACCTCCGCCTTTGTTTTGTGAAGCCGGTACCGACTGAGTGGACACGACCGCTCACGACAATCTCGTCACCGAAGCGTTTTTCTGGCCTTCCGCAGCGACCTGCCCCCCCCCTGTATGATGGTGCTAGAGAACAAATGTAATTGAATTATAACAAAGTTAAAACCCTGGTGACCCTGGCTGCCCAATGACGGGATGAACACAGCGATCCGGAGCAGGAAGTCAAGTGTCTCCTTCCCAATGTTCGGGTTTTGGAAAGCCCTCGAGGGAGGCCTCACTCCTTCGTTCTCGTCCCGGCCGGAAACGAAGAATCAAAAGAGTCAGCTTGCGTAGATTCAAAAAATCAAAAAGTATTTAATAACTAAACAACGTTATAAGGAACGCAATTACAAAGTGAAATACAAAACGAACAGTAAAATATTTCGCGAAATACAGAATCCTCTGAGCAAGTCTAAAGCGACTTATCAAAGCGGCTGCAGGAGAATTCTAACAGTTCTTTTGTCTTCATTACATCACATTGTGACAGAATGTTAATGTGTACAGTGTTTATATGATTTAAATGACTATGAATTGTGTTTGATTGAAATTGCATTCACTTCATCTAACATGTTAATGTAATAACTAATATCTAATAACACACAAACTATAATTCTAACACTAAACATTATTACACATACTATAAATTCTATGACTAGGAGCACTTCTGGCTTAAATCCCTAACACCAACAACCAGTAGAGAGCCGGCGGCCCTGATGTGTGAGGGGATGATGCGTCATGGTGTCACCCACGAGCGCTTAGTCTGGGCAGCTGCATCACAATCTCCACAGTGGACGGTTGAGGATAAATCTACCCTGTTGTTCAGAAGGGCCCGATGCTATTATTCTATTATTCTAGTATTCTATTATGTTGTTATGCGTTTTTGTGTGACGTCTCTGGAAAATTCCTTTCTGGCTTTTGATTGACGTTTCCGGAAAAAACATGTTTATTTCTTTAGTGGCGTGCGTGCATAGCCCCTCCCCCGGGGGACTCCCATGGCTCGCTGAGGCTGAAGGGATGGTCGACCGTCTGCCTGACGGACGGTCTAAATGCATCGAGTCGAGCGTCGCCGACAGCCTTTGTCTTGCTGTCACAGGGACACAAACCCCCCCAGACGATGAGTCGCGTGTCACTGAAAGAGGAAGCCAGAGAAGGGAAAGCCGGTGAGGAAGTTTCTGTGCAAAGAAAGGGAGAAGTTGGCTGTGTGGCGGCGGAGTCTGTCGGTCTACATGGCGTTTCGGCATGTGTGACGTGACGTGTCTGAGTCCGCCCATGTTTCAGGCCACGGGGACTCGCCACACGCCAGCGGGCCCTCAAGAGCAGAGGGGCCTGATCCCGCCTGCTCGTCACGCATCACGCCGTTTAGTCCCGCTGACCTCCACTGAACACGCAGCAGACGTGACCTGCTGGTGACGGTCCATGTCCCGGTCTAACCGTTGAGTTCGGTTGTGTGGAGGCCGGTGTGTGCGCCTGCTGGATGCACGTGTGGAGAGGAAGGGGCTTGAAGTCGGTGCTGTGTACCTGTCCGACAGGTGACGTTTTTACGGGCTGTCAGAAAAACAGATGGTTTCCGTTTATTTTGGCTCCGTCCAAACCGATTTAACACAAATTCTTCTCCCTCATTTCAGTGAAGAGAAAGCGGATGATATAGACGGCGACCTGAGCTCCTCCACCAGAGAAGGTGATACCACACACACACACACACACACACACACACACACACACACACTGTACAGAGAGTTTGTTGGACTAGTGTAGTCATGTTGGAGAGAGACCACATAGTCACAGTGGTTTACACGATGGGGATCAGCCTGGACTCGTCGTGTAAGAGAAACTTCCCCCTGTGGGTCTGTTTGTACTCTGGTTTCCTCCACACGCTGCTAAAGCTGCATAAAAGTTAAGCCGTACAAATGACAATAGAAAAACTTGTGCCAAAGGGAAATAATGGTGAATTTCTAAAACGCTTCATGAAGTTATTAGACGAGAGACTGCTGTTCACATCAGATAAGTGTTTGTCCAACTCTTGTCCGCGCTGCTCATGAAAGACCCTCATTGACCCGGCAGCGGTGCGGAGTGGATTCCACGCGGTTTAAACGGTTTGAGCTGCTCCAGTGAGGTTGACGGAGGACGCTCGTGGCACTGCAGTACGAGGAGCACTGATGGACACCCTTTGGTCCTTCTTGTCTTCTCTGTGAGGACGAGAACCTTCTTGTAAATAAGGCCACAAAGAGAAAGATGTGCTGTGATGCCCATGCAGCACGGCCCCTCTGGACCGGGAACGCGGGTCGATTTAACGCACGCCGCGGTGCATTAAGAGGAAAGTTCCCTCCCCTCCAGCCCAGGACATCTAGTGAAAGAGGAAGCGAGCAGGCAAGGAAATTCCCAGAGCGCTTTACCGCTCGGTGTGGTTTGAAGAGTGAAGACCGGCCGGAGTCATGTGACCGAGCGCGTTGTCCTCAGGCTCACATCGCTGCTAGAATTAACAACCTTCATTTTGTGTGTGCGCTCTTTTCCTGTTGAGTCAGTGTTTGAGTCCCCTAAAAGAATTCAACGAAGCATCCATTCCATCTCCTGACCTGTGCACCGCCACAGGGGGCTGTGGTCACCTGACCCGTCGCTGTGGTCACCTGACCCGCCGATCCGGAGCTGCCCAGAGGCCGTGTTCATTCAGTCACACATTACTGCAGGTTGTGCCGTTATCGCCCAGAAAACATTGTACCCACGATGTTTTCACAACAACAAATCTATATTTCAGAATTATTGAATGAATTATTATTAGCTGTTTAGCTGTAAGCAGGCACGGTATTTTCAACCCTAAAATATTCATTTGATTTCCTTATTTGAATTTGACGAGGAAAAGTAACTTGATGATCCTTTTGAGAAAAAAATCACAATCAAGATGTGCTTGATGTTCTTTTGTGTATATATAAAATGAATATCTACTCCAAGTACAGTGCGTCACACAGACACAATTCTACTGATGGTTCCACGATGACCAGGAGGAGGATGAGGACGACTTTCTTCTACTGTACGTTTCTCAGACGTCACGTAGTGTGAATATAGAGCGCAGCCCGGTTTTGTTTCCTCTCCAGCTGATGAGGAAGAAGGAATGCTGCTGGTGGAGCTGGTTTGTTCACTGTGCATCTGTAGTGGAAGGTTCAGTCGTTGATGATTTCTGGTAGACTTTGTGTACCAGTTTGAGTGACATGCGTGCATCACGTGCACTCCGCTAGCTGCGCTACTCTTATGACCCAAACCCTCAAGGAGTTCTGCAGAGGAACTTGTTGTAGCCGCAGGCCGCCCTTCTTCCCCAGAGAGAAGTGTGGGCCGACGCGAGTCATTTCAGCGCAGCTCGGAGTGGAAGGTGCAGCAGCGCTGCCCCCTTCTGGTGCAACGTTGCCTTCCAGCCCCCCGGATTCAGGTCAGTATCAACGCCATGAGGCAGATCTCTGTTACCGTGGGAACACGGCTCGCATGCGTCCATGAGCGGCGGTAGATGAGGAATGAATGGCTGCAGCGCGGCGGCGGTGTGATCATCATGTGCACGCTGCAGCACACAGTCTCCTCTGTTCCCGCTTCACGCTGCCACTCGTGAGGGTGCGAAGAGGACGCCCCCCCTTATGGCTTCTTCATACACTATGATCGGTACCGTCAGGGGCTTTTATGGGCTAACAACTGAAACTTTTACAGACAAAAGGTCCAATGTTGATGCTTTTTTCTTTTCTCAAACCGTTTGAACCCGTTAAAGAGATGATGCCACGAGGAGCCTGCGGCCTGCTGTCATCACAGGGACACCGTTCCCTCTCAAACTGCTACCTAACGCTTCACGGGGCCTACCGGCCACTTTTCACAAGTACAAAGGAGCAGGGAACTTGGATCAGAACCTCAGGAGCTTTGTGCAGCGACGGTGGGAGGAGGTCGTGCTTTGTCTTCACTGACCATGAAACAATTATTGTTCACTAAATCCTCCTCAGCAGACATGCTGCTTCTGACAGCTACTGGAGCTTCCCGGGCTTACTGATCAGTCACAACGTTTGTTTGTTCTGGAGCAAAAAGCTTCACAGCGGCTGAATGCTGCTGCTGCTGCTGCTGCTGCTTGTTCTTGAGTTTGGCTTTTGTAGGAATCTCAAAAGCCCCGGAGTATTAAATGACGAGGTCTGCAGCACTAAACACTGCAGGGATTGAAGCTCTTTAACTAGAAGTCTTTTTTCCCCACTAGGAACAACTTGTGCGAGTGCTCCAGGATGACACACACACACACACACACACACACACACACACACGTATTGAATGTCCTTTTCCTGCTGCCTTGTTTTTCACTGCTCTATTCTACCACCAGGTTTGCTGGGATGGGTAACCTGCTAAAAGTCCTAACAAGGGATATAGAGAACTATCCCCACTTTTTCCTGGACTTTGAAAGTAAGTCTGTGAAAGTGGGAGAGCGATGGGTGGAGAGGGTGGAGATGGGTGGAGCGGGTGGGGGGGTAACCAGCTCAGCCGTTTCCTTTCTGTCAGCAGGGTTCTGCTCCTGATGACCTCGAAGGAGTCGGCTTCTGCTCCTCTTTTTTTCTCCCTGCCCCCCCTCCCTCGTCTGCTCTCACTTGGCCACGACCTCCTGACCTCTGATCTGCAGTCTTTGTTCAGTAACTTATTGATGAGTTTAACACCACGTATGCTTCCTTCCTTCCTTCCTTCCTTCCTTCCTTCCTTCCTTCTTTCCTTCTGATTTTCCTCTCTTGCAGAAGCCAAATGGGGAATCTGTTAAAAGTGCTGACTTGCACAGAGCTCGAGCAGGGGCCAAACTTTTTCCTTGACTTTGAAAGTGAGCACAGCTTCTACCTGTCCTGCCCCCCCCCCCTAATCCTGACAGGTCAGGGGTCAGCCGATTCCACTATTGAACTGCCTCTGCATGCATGTATTGTACGTCTTGATTAATCCCTCACTTCATAATGAAGAATGGAGCTGACCCTTGACCTTTGCCGTCCGCGTTCACTAAGCCGCCTGCATGCGTGTCCCTGTATGTGCGCCGTTAGTAGGACCTTCTGCATACGTGTCGCCGTCATTGGGTCCAGTACGCAGTGTTTGGTCTCCGTTAAGCATTGTTTCCCTTCCTGCCAGCTTCATTATGTAATCAGCTTCCACACGTACGGGGTGGACAACATCCCCCACAATGCACCACTGAGTCGCCTCTTTCTGAAGCGCCTCTCACAATGTGGCCGAGCTCCTCTCTGTGTGCTCGTGGCGGGCGGAGCTCGTTACCCTTAAAATCTGTTACGTTTCTCGTATTTACGCCCTCGCTCGGATTGCCACAATATCTATGCGCGTGTGCTCAACACTGAAGCAAACCGACCAACTCCCCGAGGCACCGGCCCTGTGCTCGGCACACGGGAGTCATGGAGACGACTGCTGTCTCTGCGCAGGCTGCAGACACGCACAGTTAGATCTGCTTTCATTGATGCGGCGTTATTACAGCGGACGCTGTGAGTTCATCCTGCTGCGGCGGATTCACTTCCATCGCGAACACTGAAGCTGGTAGATGAAGTCAAACAATGCTTTCAGCTTTCAACCCAGTGTGACGAGTCGGATCGACGCCTTTTCTAATCATGTCACTTTTCAACCTGGAAAGGGTGAATTCAGAATGCTGACTCGACTTGACGTGAAAAGGCGATGATCGCTTGTGACCGCTGCGGTAGCTTAGCCAACCGTTGTCCTGCTGGGCCCGAGCTTCTGTATCAGACACACATTTGCACCTTCTGTGTGTCAGACGCCCAGCCGACAGAAGGAGAGCGTGAGGTGTGGAACCAGGTGAACGCCGTCCTCCAGGACTCGGAGAACATCCTGTTGGGCCTGCAGGCGTACAAAGGAGCCGGCCAGGAGATCAGAGATGTGAGACACACACACACACACGAAACACTGTGTTCTTTCTCTTCAAAATGTGACGACGTGTCCGATCTGACTGTAGAGGACAGGCGGTCTCAGTCCGGTACAAGGTGGCGGTGCAGAATGTTTCTGATGCCTTCTGCTCGCCAAATGTTGTTGGTGGTTAAAGGTCACTAATGTTTTTGAGCATAACTCCAGAATGTCTATCATGGGAATCGAGTCAATGACAGACATGTAAACTGCTGCATGACAGAGCGATACAAGCAGCCGGTGTTGATTGTATTTGTTTGTTTCCAGGCGATTCAAAACCCCAACGACTTCACGCTGCAGGAGCGAGCCTGGAACTCCGTCTGCCCGCTGGTCATCAAGCTCAAGAGGTTCTACAGTTTCTCTCTGCGACTCGGTACGCTCACAGCGGAGAAAGCAAAGCTTTGTTACTTTCATCTGTAGTAAAACGTCCCCCTGCTCGAGTGACCGATACGTGGACCTGATGAAACAAAATCGGTTGACTTTAAAAGCAAGTTTTGGTTTATTTGCTGCTTTTCCGTCTGTTAATGTGAGTAAATTCTGAAGGTTTTTGCGTTGTGTGTGTTCAGAGGAGGCTCTGCAGAGCCTGCTGGAGTGCCTGACGTGTCCGCTCCTCACGCCCACCCAGCACCTGGAGCGGGAGCAGGCCCTGGCCAAGCAGTTCGCTGAGATCCTCCACTTCACGCTGCGCTTCGACGAGCTCAAGGTCTGCTGCCAGCGCAAAAGTCCCCCGTCCCCGCTGAAGGTGTCCCTGTCCCCGCGCTGACTCTCTTTCTCCTCAGATGAGAATTCCCGCCATCCAGAATGACTTCAGCTACTACAGAAGAACGATCAGCCGGAACCGGATCAACAACATGAACGTGAGTCGTCCAACGAGATCTACTCGCGTCTGCTGCGGTCGCTACAGTCTGTGTGTGTAGTAACGATGATGCCCTGTTTGTTTGTGGTGTGTGTGTGTCCCTGCAGCTGGACATTGAGAAGGAAGTGAACAACGAGATGGCCAACAGGATGTCCCTGTTCTACGCAGAAGCCACGCCCATGCTGAAGACGCTCAGCAACGCCACCACAAACTTTGTGACGGAGGTGAGAGTCTGTCACCTTCTGTACAGCTTCAGGGAAACCTCGCATCCACTGTCCAGTCCAGGGAGACGAAATGACCCCTGTGTGTGTGTGTGTGTAGAACAAGAGTCTTCCCCTGGAGAACACGACCGACTGTCTGAGCACCATGGCCAGCGTGTGCAAAGTCATGCTGGAGACGCCGTGAGTGATCGCGCCTTCGCCTCGTTCCCTTTCAGAGGAGAGGAACTCGTTTGTAAATGAGACGCACTTTGACCCAAAGCATGACCAGTTGAGTTTTGTTTTGTCCCACTTTTAAGTGAGGTGAGAGGTCACGCACGCAGCCGTGAAGCGGCAGCATTGAACGCGGAGGAGACGAATGTCCGCGGCTTGGACCTGCATCTGTCTGATTCCCTGTACAACCTTCTGCTCCCGTGTGTTCAGGGAATATTCCAGTCGCTTCAGCAGCGAGGACACGCTCCTGTTTTGCATGAGGGTCATGGTGGGAGTCATCATTCTTTACGACCACGTCCACCCCAACGGTGCCTTCAACAAGTCCTCAAAGATAGACGTAAGAGGCTGTCCACCACGCACACACACACACACACACACACATCTGTGTAGCAGCATCACTGTGTAGTGTGTGTGTGTGTGTGTGATGCCGCTCTGCTCTTTCCTCCTCAGATGAAAGGCTGCATAAAGGTCCTGAAGGAGCAGCCAGTAGACATCGTAGAAGGCCTCCTGAATGCCCTCAGGTAGGTTCATGCTCGCGCTTTTATTAAATACCAGTAATCTAAAAACGGAAGGAGCGATGGTCTTCAGTCTGTGTGATCATAGTATTGCCCCCGTCGTAATAGTAGAGTGTCCTCCTCCTGTCAGCTTGGAAATGCTCCTTTTTAGCTTCTGAAGAAGCAGCTGAACCTGGAGACCTTCTCCCTGTCTCCATGCCGCCCCATCGTCCCCACACAACCTTCAGGTTCCCAGATGGGGGTCCGGCCCTCAGGGCTGATGGCTGCTGCGGATCCTCAGATAACATTCGCCATTGTTTCTCCTCAGATTCACCACGAAGCACCTGAACGACGAGTCCACGCCCAAGAACATCCGGGCCATGCTCCAGTAGAATCTGCTCCTTTTTTATCCGTATGAAGAGGTTCAATGCTCTGACCTCAAAGAAGATGTACATGTTTACATTATTTAAAAAGACTGGATGTTAATACTGGCGTGTATTTGCATAGCGGAGCTATTGAGAGCTGCGGAGCATCTTCCCTCTGAAATGACCACCTGAATGGCCTACTGATCACAGACGATGGACCCCTGTCGGCCTCACGTCCCCGAGCTTCTCCCTGGATCTTCTCAATCTTTTTATGACAATGGAATTAGTTTAGTCTGCAGCTCTTGGTTTGTGGAGCTGAAGTGAATTAGTTTTTCAAAGCGTGTAACGGTAACGGTTCATACCAGCGCGTGCCGGTCGGTTTGATGTGCGCCGCGCTGAAAGCACTCAGGTTGTTTCCTGTTTTTATAGCCGGCTGTTGCGTTGCTCTGCTTCGTTTTCTTCACGCTTCTGTTGAAATCTGCATCCACTGTGAAGAGGAAAGTGACTTTGCACACCCGGTCAGATCCAGTATTGAAAAGGCTGCGATGATGAAACAGGAAGTCAAATCTCCCACCGGACGTTTTATTTAACCGCTCCTCCACGTGGCCAAACAGGCAACGTTTTAAGTGACTTTTGTATGAAAAACTCTCTCAAAGAAAAGCCCCAAAAAGAATAATGTTGTCCCCAATAAATTATATAAGCTTAAGTGAACTACTTTTTTTAATGTTATTTAAAGTTCGGCTAGTTTGACTCCTCTCCTCTGGTGAGACCAGTGGAACCGGCTCCATCTTTTTATATCGAACGCTGACATTGTTTTAAACCATGTTTCAGTTTTGTCCATCAAACTACTGCTAGAATTGAAGGTTCCTTCTCACTGTGTGAGAGGCGTTCCCTGGTGGTAGCCGGCGTGGGAACCGGCACGTGGACGGTCCTGGGCTCCTCTGCCTGACCAGCAGCTCCTCACACCTCCACGTGCTCCCCCGGTCGACACCCGTGAGCGCCGTGCGCCGCCGCCGCTGCGGAAACCTGGTATTATGATGATAAATATGACGTCACCACGGCCCTGCGACCGTGAGGCGCGGAGACCAGAGTGGCCTCAAAGCGTAGCAGGTAGAAACCTGGACGGCCATCATGTTTCCTCCATCAGCGCGCAGGCAGTGCTCCGTGCACGCCGTCCAGTTACTGACGCTGATGAAAGAAATGCTGGTGACTGAAGTGCACAAAGCTTCACTCTCCCCACATGTTGCTACTGGGCGCTAAAGGCCAGATGTTACGAATACTGAGACACAATCAGCTGTTTATCTCAAACTGACGCTTATTGTTTTCGTATTTCTTGAGTTGAGACTCCATGTGGATAATAAATAGTGGCTTTTGGCTTTGTTTTTGTATGTATGGGGCGTTTGGATTGGGTAATAAAATGGGTGCATTTCTTATACAGAATGGGTTTCCTTTGGTTTTCTGATTGTAGCATGTGATATCTAGCTAGTAGCCAGATGTTACAGTAAAAGTACTCCACTACAGGTAAAGGTCAGCCTTGTATGATCACGTCAATCAAGTTTTGTAATATTCAAAAAAAAAAGACTCAAACAATTGGAGGAAGAGGCAATAGATCCTTTCATATGAAAAACTGGAAAAATCTCATTTTTACAAACAAAGGTAAGATAATGTGTTCCTTTTCTTCAATTATTCTTTTTTGCCATTACATTTTCTAGAAAACAGACCATAAAGCCTTTGTATGTTTACATTTTTTCAGGTGTAGATGTGGAGTAAAAGGTTCACTTGGCGAAGTACAAAGCATGAAAAGAAAACGCAAGTATCTGAATTAGTATTTAATTACAGTACTTTTATTACTTTAAGTACTTAAGACTGAGACCTGCCGATCAAGAGTCCCTTTAAAGAACGAGATCTAATGCTTTCAAAAACAACGTTTACATATTGTTTTGTTTCCTCATACTACTGCTTCTTTTTCTTAAACAGAATCTTTTATTTCACCTTTTGCATCATGAATAAAGTCATCGACCAGAACCGGCGCATTCACAACGTACACTATATTGCTATACACTACACTATATGCAGACCGTCGGCCCTCGATTAAAACCTGTTACTGAAAAGGGGATGCGACCCTTGCAAAGCGGCAGTGTGGATGGTTTTGATGTGAAATATTTGCAGAAAGGCATTTTTGTATACTGTGTGTTTACATGTGTTCAAATATTCAACGGCTTTCTATTATAATCTCGGGGCTGCTGATTCTGCAGCAGCTCTTTTCACACAATGAGACACTAATGGAGCTAAACGTTGAGATGTCCTCAGAAGGTTCACGTCGCTCCTCATCTCCGGCCGCGCAGCGTGCGCATTGTGAAGGGCATTTGTAGAATACGGATATCAAACTACACCTTGTGACCGCAGAGCTGCAGTGAATCTGGTCCTGACGCTGTGGGTCTGTGGTCCTCCAGATGTGTGTGTGGGCCACAGCTGGTCCAGAACTGAACCCCAAACAGTGGTCTACCTAAGCGTGAGTAATCAGAACGGTTATCATGCGTATTTATACCTGTGAGAGACTCTTTACTCTCCGATACAATATCTGATTTTACATTTTGGCCCCTATTTGTTGTCATCACATTTTATACTCTAAAACTGTCTGATTTGAGTTTAGAGATTAAATGTGAGATGCTTTTGTACCGGTTGGCATTCTATGCAGCCTACAACACGTCTAGTGCTTTGCTTTGAATACAGATTTAGAAATAAACCAAAATACTCAATAATTTACCTCCACTTAGCTCAAACTGAGACATGAAACCTTCCTAATCGGCTCACAAACTGCAGTCACTTCGAACCCATATTTGCTGCTGAATACGCTTGCTGTGTGGTTACATCACACTCCGCCCACAGGAGCCCCCCCGGATCACTTACTGGGGGCGCTGCGGTGTGAGCGCCTCCTCGCTCAGCCGGGGAACCGCCGACCTCACCGGGCCCGGACGGACCCCGGCATTCCACCGGGTCAGGCGCAGCAGGCCGTGGGCGGTCTCCTTGGTGACGGGGGGGTCGTGATTGCCAGACGCCCAGGGTGGTCGCCGTTGGGTCTCAGGGGGAAGAGGAGGAGGAGGAGGTTGGGGTCCACAGCTGGAGCTGAGGAACATCTGAGGAAACGTGATCGGAGAACTGGAGTTACTTTCATAAAGCGAATGCAACGTGATCGTGCATGTGGAGATCTTTGTCTCACATCGGCTTTTGTGGACGCTAAAGAATGAGGCTAAACAACTTCATGAAAGCCTGAACATGAAACGCCACAGTGTCCTCGATCTCACCCCCTCCCTCAAACCCCATCAGCATAATTAGGCTTCAGCTCATTAACGGGCTCTTTCTGTGTGAACGCTGCTCCATTATGCATTATGCCTGCTGGTTTTACCCCCCCGCTCGCCTTCTAACTCAGGCAGGGGGGGGGTCGCAGTGGGGCCGTGTTGGTGCTGACGGATGGAGCGTGGCCTACCAGCGATTTGGCTTTGCGCGGCTTGTGACGCGCCTCAGGCGGCGTCCTCTGGCTGCGGGTGGAGACGGAGGAGGCAGTGAGCGGGTGGAGCCTCAGCCGGTCTGATAATTCAGACCAATCAATCAGTCGCGTTGTGGGCGGACGGGGAGGGGGGTCAAAGAGGCCGAAGAATGACCGGACCAGGGTGGACGCCGTCTCTCTACAGAAGCTTCTCTTTGGCTAAAGGAATCATTTAGAATATTCAACTGAGTGCCGTTGTCGTTGCCTCCCCCGTCCCATTGACCACATGGTAGTTTGGGTTCTCCAGAGAGCAGCTTCACGTTCTAGGAGCTCCGTCAGCGGGCTGCGGGTTGTCCAGGTAGCGCAGGGTGTCTCTGGGACGCCTGTCGGAGTCTCTCCACGGCCTCTCGCTTGTTGGCGCCGACCTGGAGACGCTCATAGGTGATGCTGTCTGCTTGATGAGGGCCCTTCCTGGGGGAACGAGGGGAAGAACGTGCCGGGACGAGGAGGTGGCACTTGTCATACGTCACTGCATTTTAAAGCAGGGTCACCTTGTAACGTGGGTCTGCCCTGTGGGAGGGTTCCTGCTGAGCCGTGGTCCTGGACGCGTGACCGCCGAGCTGGTTCTGGATCTGATCTCCCAACCTGCAGCTCCAGCGCCGTCTGGATGTAGTGTCTCTTCCACACGCCCTGCTCCAGAGGGGAGGGGGAGAAGCTGATGCACCACCCCCGCCTCACACACTCGGGCATCCACAGCTGGTCCAGGTCCACCATGCTCCTCCAGTGCCAGCTCACCTGCTCACAGGAGCAGAAGAAAAGCCTCTCCGAGTCGGTGCTTCTCAGCCGGCTCAATGAGGAGTCGAGTCAAACAACATCTGCAGTACCCGGGCACATCGACAGAGGCTGCGGGGGTCCATGAACGAGAAGACGTAGAGGCAGATGGCTCTGGGCAGCAGGCAGGAGAAGTCTGCGGCCTGCAGGGGGAGCCGTCTGCTCACGCTGCTGCTCAGGAACCTCGGCTGCTCCACCGAGCAGCTCAGCACCAAGTCCTGCAGCACGGCCTTCCTCTGGCCGCTGGACCACCCGTCCATCTGACGCAGGCAGAGGACACTGAGATGAGGTGGACAGACGGTGGCCCACAGAGGGGTTTCTAACTGCACAGCCAACCATTCCCTGTTCATCCTCATCATCATTTTAAAGGGACAGCAGTGTCTCCTTGCTTTCCTTTCACCCACAGTTTAGTGTCGTATCGGCCCATCACATCGCAGAGGGGGCAGACTGATACCTCAAACCCCCGGGAACTCACCCCACAAGTGTCTGGATCTACAGCTGACGCTACAAGCGGGGTAAGTGTGGGGTGAACTGTCCCTTTGACTCACCCACTTTGCCACAAGCGTTCGCCTCTCTTCAAACACCTGAGAAAGAAGAGCAAAGTGGAAAAGGTTAATGATCACATTAACCTTTTAATCATCTGGTCTGACCCCTGCTCATGAACGTAGTCCAATGTAGCTGTGAGCTTTTACATTATCAATAATAAAACAACACGTCTGTCACGGAGGCTCGTTCACAACGTACACTATATTGCTATACACTACACTATATGCAGACCGTCGGCCCTCTGGCTCTGTGAGTCGATTAAAACCTGTTACCGAAAAGGGGATGCAAATGTACTTCTGTGTCTTATGAAACCCAAAAAACGTTCCAGAGTTAAGATGAAATCCAGCTGACGCAGCGTTCAGAGAGTTAACACACTGCTCACCATCGGTTCTCCTCTGCCGACAGAACGAATCCGACCCAACGCGCCGTACGCCCAACTCGTCTTCTTCTCTTCTCCGTCCCACGTCCCTGTGCAAAGTTTACCCGTTGCCATAGTGACAGAGAGCACGCCGGGGGTCGCAGCCTGCCCCACGCAGAGGGCCAGCGGTAGTGCAGAAGGCCCGACGCTGCAGCCACGGACACCCTGCAGAAAGGCCTCTCGCAGCCGGTTCACACCGACCGGGAAACCCGCAGAGGAAGGAATATATCACTTGTTTAATGCTCTGCTGAATTGAGTGAAACTGAATTGCTTGGACATTATAAAATGAATGTCTCATTTCTTCACCAGGCTTGTAACCCGTGTGTGGGGACAATTTAAATGATCAATAGTTTGTATTATCAGTAGTACAATACTTGTAGTAGTAGTGGAGGTAATACAGATTTGTATAATTCGTAATAAATTTAATTCTGGTGAATGGATCCAACATGGTGGGACTTCTCCCATAATGCGCCTATTTTAGAGCAAAATGAATAAATGAAACGTGGTTTTATCGTCAGTTCAAACATCGCACGCAGACAAATAAGTGTCCATTCATTGTCGGAAAGCTCGTCCCCGAAAGGGCGGTGGCGCGCACCGAAGAGACAAAACCTGCTGCGAAGAAAGACGGAGATTCGCATCGAAGGTAGACGAGCACACGCGGGGCTGACCGGAAACTAGCCACCGTGCCTTCAAAGTAAAGGAGTCGATGGCCAAAAGCATGGATCATAGAGGACATTGGCTTGTTGTTATGCACACTTACATCCAGCTACTATGATTCACAATATTCCCACTGTTAGTGATATTTGCTTTCATGTCAATTGTGTATTGATGCATCAGGAAATATTAAACTCATATTATCATTTTACTTTTGGGGTTGATAATCTTGTCCGACATGTGATAGACTTTTTAGTTTCATGAATAATGTTGATACGTTGAATAATGTGTGACTATAACTGTAGAGTAAAAATACATTTTGAAACTGCTTGAAATCCACTAGTACTATTAGGAGTATTATAGCTTCAAATATAAGTCCAGTGCCAAATCTACTTAGTTATTTTCCACCATTGCTCATCAATCGTGTTGATGGAAAGCTAAATCTATTTCATAGCTTTTGAAATAAATCCTCCTGTTAAGGTGCCTGTAAATGAAGAAATAAACCCACAAGTAGTGTGTTTGTTTCATGTTCATGTGTCCCGTCGCTGGGTCCCGTCTGGTCTTTCGTCAAGGAGGCTTTTATTGTGTAGGGTCATGTCCGGAAGCCGTTTGTTAAATGCCGCGTGCTTATCTCTCGGTGGACGAGGGGGGGCACAGAGGATGAGGGGGGAGGAGAGCAGCGCTCATTGTTACCAGCCCGACGAGGAGCGCCGGAGACCCCGTCGCTGCACGTGAATTCTCGCCATTCAGGTAAACTTGGGTTTAACGGAACCGGTTCCAGCTAGCTTACATTCACACCGTTTCTCCCCCTCAACCTCCCCCCGCCCCGCGCGCCGCTCGGCCCGGTGAGTTCACGTCACAACGCCGGTACACGCGCTGCGTCTCCCGTTAACCGGAGCGGACCGCCGTCTCGTTACCGCGAGGAGGAGCGCGTTACCGTGAAGAGGAGCGCGTTACCGTGAGGGGCAGCCCGTTACCGTGAGGAGGAGCGCGTTACCGTGAGGAGGAGCCGTTACCGTGAAGAGGAGCGCGTTACCGTGAAGAGGAGCGCGTTACCGTGAGGGGCAGCCCGTTACCGTGAGGAGGAGCGCGTTACCGTGAGGGGGAGCCCGTTACCGTGAGGGGGAGCCGTTACCGAGAGGAGGAGCCGTTACCGTGAGGGGCAGCCCGTTACCGTGAGGAGGAGCCGTTACCGTGAGAGAGAGCCGTAACCGTGAGGAGCAGCCCGTACCGTGGAGGAGGAGCCGTTACCGTGAGGGGGAGCCGTTACCGTGAGGGGCAGCCTGTTACCGTGAGGGGCAGCCCGTTACCGTGAGGAGGAAGCCCGTTACCGTGAGGGGGAGCCGTTACCGTGAGGGGCAGCCCGTTACCGTGAGGGGCAGCCCGTTACCGTGAGGACGAGCTGTTACCGTGAGGAGGAGCCCGTTACCGTGAGGGGGAGCCGTTACCGTGAGGAGGAGCCCGTTACCGTGAGGGGGAGCCGTTACCGAGAGGAGGAGCCCGTTACCGTGAGGAGGAGCGCGTTACCGTGAGGAGGAGCGCGTTACCGTGAGGAGGAGCCGTTACGGTGAGGAGGAGCCCGTTACCGTGAGGAGGAGCCCGTTACCGTGAGGAGGAGCCGTTACTGTGAGGAGGAGCGCAGAGGCGCGTGTAGAATGAGCTCCTTTAAGCGCGTTTCATTGTGTTGTAGTTGTGTTGTAGTTGTGGCAGAGATCCTGACGTAGCGAACCGATGATGTCGTGTCTTCATATTGTGTGTAGTTGTTGTGCTGTTGACTCATTCTGGTAATGTGATCTCTCTCCTCCTCCGTTACGCCTCCTGCTGCAGCCTCTTGTGTGCACTGCAGTCGCTGCCCATTGTTTCTCACATTTTAATGATAATTCATGTGTTGAATGATCCTGCACTGGTGACACAGTAACATATGTGTTTAACAAATGTTGTGCTTCTGTTGTCCAATGCAGATTGAACATTCGGCGGCCGTGGTCATCGAGGTCCTCTCGTATGCGTCCTGGCTGACGTGGAGGCAGGAGAAGGAGGCGAGGCGTCTTAAGGGACCGCGGCGTCCTGCCGGGCCATGGAGGTCTGCTGACCGGATTCCCCGCGCCGATGGATGCAGCCAGTGGCTAACCGGGCCAGCCCCGTCTCCCCCGCCGGGCGACCCGCCTCAGGCTGTTCCCTCTCCTGCCGTACGGACCCGCCATGCGTCTCCTGTGGCTGCTGTCGGTGTCCATGGTGACGGCGTGCGTCGCCATCCCCATGGACGCGGCGGAGGAGAGCCACAGTCTGTTCACTTGTGAGCCCATAACCCTTCGCATGTGCCAGGGGCTTCCCTACAACTCCACCTACATGCCCAACATACTGAACCACTACGACCAGCAGACCGCGGCCCTCGCCATGGAGGTACGTACCCCGCCGACCCGTACGGTCCACGGTTCCACCGTGGTGAGGGAGGACACGGGCATCTGCTGATATTCTGTGCTCGTGGTCACAAGTGGAACTGATCAGCACGTGTAGAAAAGCCTTTTCAACTGGCTGAGTCATCGGCACACCCGACGACTGGAAGATCAGGCCTTAATGTTTATAAAACAACTAAAATAAAGAACCTGACATTTTTATAAATGCATCACGTGCATTCAGTCACGCGTGAGCCTTCTAAGTAGGTAACTGCCTGTGTAGAGGACCATCTGCAAATGACGCTGTCTTGCACTTGGACACGCATTTGAATCATAAATGGTGAAACGTGGAAATGAATTCATATCACGTTGTGTCGAATAGTCCTTTAACGGCATATTGCGTGTTATTTGTAACGCTGAGGTCTCTTTTCTACTTTTTCTACCGTTTTTCCTTTGGTGTTGTGATTGATTTCTAGTGGGGATACGGATTGGGTTTGATTGTAATTCCACCAAGAGTTTTCTTTAGTCGAGAGGAGTCTTTTTTTTTATTGACCTGATCCGCTTTATATGTCCTTTCTCTTCCAATATATTCAAATTTCACTTTTGTCTCAGAGGGTTCCAGACATGTTGCATTTCATTGAAAACAGCCCACTTTTGAGCTCTGCGTCATTATTACGAGTGAATTCAGCACTGTGAATTCAATAATTGCCCCGGAGGCTGTGAGCTAAGCGCAGTATTATGGTGTCCTTAAAAGGGTTTCTGGCCACTGTCAACATCAGGGACTCTTCATATTTAACATAACCTGAGCAGTTAGTCCATGCAGTCCATGTTTATTGTTCTCCCCTGAGATTATCTATGGATTTACCAGCAAAGTACCCTACTGTTGTGTTATCCTCTGTGAAATGGCGATTTAGGCATTTACACACAACCGTGGAGCAGATGCATCACCTCGTTAACTTAATCCCATCCTTTGCATCGGATGATCCCCTGGAAGCTCCGTCTATCGAGCAAACTGCGCCAAAACGTGTGTGTGTGTGCGTGTGTGTGTGTGTGTGTGTGTGTGTGTGTGTGTGTGTGTGCGCATCTTTACTGATCTCACTTTATGCATTCTCAGCACCATGTTCCCTTCGGCTCCCACCCGCTCCGTCACTTTTACCACTTGACACCCGCTCCGCCCCTCCTGGCGGTGATGGGTGCACGAGCCGTGGCGACCATCTGTGCGTTCTGCACTTCGCTGTAGTCGCTTTCAGTGAGTGAGAGACACACGGTGGAGGGAAAATCCTGGGTTATGTAACGCAGCCTGAACACTGCTGTGGGAGATCACATCATCACATTTTATCATCATATCACATCATCACATTTTATCATCATATCACATCATCACATTTTATCATCATATCACATCATCACATTTTATCATCATATCACATCATCACATTTTATCATCACATCACATCATCACATTTTATCATCACATCATCACATTTTATCATCACATCATCACATTTTATCATCACATCATCACATTTTATCATCATATCACATCATCACATTTTATCATCATATCACATCATCACTTTTCATCATCACATCACATTTCATCATCACATTTTATCATCACATGTTCATATCACATTTTATCATCACATCACATTTTATCATCACATCACATTTTATCATCATATCACATCATCTGAGTTGTTCTCTTTGTATCGTATCACATCTTCACCCTCTCATTTTATCATCACATCATCACATTTCACCATATCACATCTTCATATCACATTTTTTCGTCACATCACATTTTATCTTCATATCACATTTCATCACATCATCACATTTTTTCGTCACATCACATTTTATCATCACAACACATCATCACATCACAACTGCACTCACTTTTGGAAAAGATGCCACTGCTGCCACCTCTCCAGCCCTACGGATACTATATCTGATTTCGGATCCTACGTATCCTTCCTTGTCGATGGTGAAATATTCACTCTCATCTCCTCTAGTTTGTGTTTTTGTTGGATTCTTAAAGAAAACGAATTCAGAGTGTGTAACGTGTGTTTCCTCATTGGCAGAGCTGTTACTACCCCGCTGCTGTGTTTGCTTGTTGTGCCTATTCGCAGTGTGTGGGTCGCTGTGAACAGAGAGGCACTTCTGGTTTAGACGGTGTTCACTTTGATTGGTCATGGACCCATAATGAAGTCTCTTTTAGAGCTCGTAAATGGTAGTTACACATGCAAACCCCATTGGTTCCAAATAAGGAGCGAGCTTGCCTCTGTTTGGCTCTTGTTTCCCAGATAACTCGCCCTAGATCCAGTTCATGGGAGAATTGAAAGCCTGCAAGATGTTGAGGGCAGCCAAATGAGAATTGACAGTTGATTTAGAAGGGAATTAGGCCGCTGAATGGCCGTGATGAGGATGAGGATGATGATGATGAATGCCCGGCACCGTGGCGAAACTGGGAGTTGGACGAGAACCAACGCCTGCCGTTCTTGCACTTTTTGTCCGAACCCCCTGAAGTGGTGTCTTCCTCGTTTCCTTTTTCTCCGGTCTCGCCTCTCAAGGTCTATTCAAGCTTTTGTTTTTGGGGGAAAGTGAAAGCAATTTGTCACAATATCGTTATAATCTTTATTCTGAGGTTCTGTGCGGTTTGCACTGTGGGCATTTGACCCACAGAGAATTAAGCTTCAACCCACATTAACAGAGCAGCTTTCCAAGGATTTACTTTTTAATGTAAAACCCTTTTTAACCAAACATCCATATGCAACGCCACAGGTGCTCCGTACGCACAGGACTCCTCCGCGTCGCTCGTCGTCATCGCTGACCGCTGAATGACCTCCCAGCGAAAGTGGGACAGCGGCCTAAGGGCTGGGAAATATCTGGTCTTCCTGTGGCACAATGCTTCCGTCCCCGCTGGCGGGACACGAGTGGGAGCGACTCACAAAGAGAACCAAAGTCCCGTCCTCTGAGCTGCCCGACTGATATCAGGACGGCGCCCAGTAATCGGGGCAGATGACGAGCACTCGCATTTCCTTTCTTTCAGCCATGGAGAACAGGGATTATTTGAGGGGTTTCTTCATGGCCAGATGGGCCGAGGGAAGGTCTCCTATTACCGGCGTGTGAACCGCCAAATCATTTTAATAGCTAAAGAGAAAGGAGATGGATGTTGGAAATTCAGTGACAAACTATTTAGATGCACAAGGACCATCATTGGTAGATAGTTTCTTTATTAATCCTGCAGGGGGATTATTTCTCCAGATGATGTTCTTGTCGTCATCATGTCACGTTGTTTGAGGCGTTTCGTGTGAAGGGCGAGCAGGGACACCATGACCGATCTGTCCCACTTCCACTGACTTCCTCCTCTTTGCAGCTCCTTAAATCCGCCTCTTGTCTCGGCTTTACGACGCGTCCACATAAACTGTGTCACGTTACAGCTGCTGGGAGGAGTGACCCAGATACCAACAAGCAGCGGTGAGTGGAGTAAACGGGAGCTGAGGAGAGAGACAGAGTTTCATTGGACGCTCGCTCAAGTTAAAACAGGCTGCAGTGAACTAAAAAGTAGTGAAGATGTTTCCCAGCTAAGCGCACACACACACACACACACACACACACACACACACACACACACACACACACGGTCTGATAAATCCTACCCAGCGTGACCCGGGCTATAAAGGAGCCTCTTGTTTTATTAAATGTCCAACACCGTGTTTATTGGCAGTGGACTGAAAGAGAAGCTCATCCAGAGAGAGAGGTGTGTGTGTGTGTGTGTGTGTGTGTGTGTGTGTGTGTGTGTGTGTGTGTGTGTGTGTGTGTGTGTGTGTGTGTGTGTGTGTGTGTGTACACACATGGACACAAGGTTTTCAAACATTTAGCAGGGAATGACACGGTTGACTCAGTGGACCCGTCCCTCCCGTCTCTCTCTCTCTCTCACCCCTCCTCCTCCTCCCACGTCTTTTGTCCTCCCCCTCCCCCCTGCGCAGGGCTCTCCCGTTGCCCAGGAAACCGTCCCGATTGTGCTGTAACAAAGGGGGCCGAGGCTTTCTTGCCTCCCAGGAGGTGGTCCCCTCCGCCCCGCACCCTGACCTCCTCAAACCCGCTCTCCACCCTCCTCCTCCCTCCTCCACCCTCCTCCTCCCTGGTGATGCATCACCCGTTGCCATGGCGCTGAGCTTGAAAATTTGGAGAATTGAAATGGCAGCAGAGGAGAAAGGAGCAGAGGGGGAGGCAGAAGGCAGGGGGGTGAAGGAAAGAGGTGACTGGGTGGTATTTTTAACATGGACCAGTTGGCTTCTTTGTCACTAACGTCACCGTCTCAGCAGCAGACTGAGCCTTCATTAAAAGGGAACTACCCCCCCCCCCCCCCCACTAGACCACGGGCATATTTAATAACACGACAAAACACGCTGAGAATCTCAGATATTCATGAGACCGAGGTCACGCCTGTTTTTCTTCAAAGGCAGTTTGCAGCTAACAGGGCTGAAATATGTAAAGTTCAGTTAAAAAACCAAACCGTCTGTCTGTCTGTCTGTCGCCAACAAACCGTCTTTAATAAATCAGCCTCCAGGGTCTCCTGCTCAGGCCTCATATTATTCCACTCACATCAAAAATCCCCCAACACACTCATGAATACGTGATGTCTGCCGCTGAGGTTGAAGCTGAAACATTAGCATACCCCCCCCGGCCCCCCCGGCCCCCCAGTCCCCCTCGTTTCGACCAGTGGTTCACCGGCTGCTCCCAGTGCGCCCATCAACTCCCAACTCCCCGTGGACAGTGTGGAGCGTCCGGGGGGGTCGGAGTCACGTGTCCCATCCTGACTGGAGACACTGAAGAGGTGGAGGAGGGGAACCATGACGGAGTATAGAAATAGAAAAGAGGGAAGCGTGATGACCTGAAGGAGTCTAGATGTTCGCCCCCCCCCCGTAGCCCAGATGTGTGTTCATGGCGCCGTACGTCACCACCGGCTCAAAGCCGAGCGCAGCACAAAGATGAGCTCACTTTAGAGGCATCAGATCATGTTTGAGCGGCTAACCGACGCTACGGGGCAACGCCGAGGAACTTCTCCTAGAGGGGGGGGGGGACTCCACCACTGAGGAACGACCCGCGTCACTGAACGCCTCGCAGGGTGATGTCATCACAAGGGCCATCGATGGCCTGCGGGCGGACGAACACTCATCGTGGGGCAACGAGTCCGTCCCCGTCCCCCCGCGGTGGAAGATGTCCGTCTCATGACCGTCCTCTCCACACCGCTCACTGTGCTATGAAGAAAAGCTGCACGGATGTGGCTGCTTTGTCCCCTGAGGGCCTTTACTGTCCCTCCTGCATGGAGACATGCGTGTGGGTGGCGTGCTGCATGCTTCCAGCAGGCGGAGGAGGTGTAGCAGAGCAGAGTCCTCCGTCAGCTCTTTTGTTGCAGCAATGGGAGCTAAAGGAAGTTCAGCCTCTAAAGCTGTGCATGTGGGAGTGAATGGACGTGTCTCCGTGTCCTCTGTGACTGACTGGGGACACCGACTCCCGCCCCTCAGATGACTGACTGACACTACGGCTCGTCCAATCGGTCTCCATCTGACACACACACACGGCTCTCTGTGTCTCACGTTCACAAACGTCCCTCAGCAGACGTCCTCGTTAAAATCCACCATCCAACAAACACCGGGACAAGGAGCCCGTCCCCGTCCCTCCTCGTCCTTCAGTCGTTGACTGGTGGGGGAGGGCGCAGCAGTACCCGGGGGGGCTGGAGGCACCGCGGCGTCACTTTCCCCACGGATGCTTCCTGCACCTCGTGGCTCACTTTGCATGCGTCAGGCCTTTATGTTGCGTGTGTGTGTGTGTGTGTGTGTGTGTGAGAGGGGGGGGGCAACTTGTTGTGCCCTTCCTGTCTGAAGGGGGGCGGGGGGGGGGGGGGGGTCTGGTACCACGGGGGGATTATCGTTGTTTTCGTGGGCTCTTCTCCAGAAAGAGTCCGAGTCCTGCTCCACTGATCTCTTTGTGGCCCTCGCTGTGGGGGGGGAGTCCTTTCAATAAAAGAGTTTTGTGATTTGATCTGCAGCCCTTCCATCCCATGGTGAACCTCCACTGCTCCCCGGGCCTGCGGATGTTCCTGTGCGCGCTCTACGCCCCCGTGTGCACCGAGTACGGCCGGATGACGCTGCCCTGCCGCCGCCTCTGCCTGCAGGCCAGGAGCGACTGCTACAAGCTCATGGACATGTTTGGCGTCAGCTGGCCGCAGGAAATGGACTGCAGCAGGTCGGTACACCGGCGGCAGACTCGCCGTGACAACCGGCTACTAAAGTCCACCGGACCTGCGAGTGAATCGCACAGCGTAAATGGGCCAGAACAAGATATTAGGAAGGAATTGAGCGAGAGTTGGCTGCTTTACAGACACACAAACACACATTTCCCTCTGTTGTATTTATGTATTTCTATTCGCCTGAGGTCATGTGGTCTCGGCCCTCAGGTTCCCGGACTGCGACCAGCCGTACCCCCGCCCCGAGGACCTGCTGTCCGCCTCGGACACGACGGAGTCGCCCGTCTCCATCCAGCGGGACTACGGCTTCTGGTGTCCCAGGGAACTCAAGATCGACCCCGAGCTGGGCTACTCCTTCATGGGGGTCCGCGACTGCTCCCCCCCGTGCGCCAACATGTACTTCACGCGCGAGGAGCTGACCTTCGCCCGCTACCTCATCGGCGTGGTGTCCATCGTCTGCCTGTCCGCCACCCTCTTCACCTTCCTGACGTTCCTCATCGACGTGTCGCGCTTCCGCTACCCGGAGCGTCCCATCATCTTCTACGCCGTGTGCTACATGATGGTGTCCCTGGCGTTCTTCCTCGGCTTCCTGCTGGAGGACAGAGTGTCCTGCAACGCGGCGAGTCCCGGGAGGTTCAGGGCTTCCACCGTGACCCAGGGCTCCCATAACAAGGTAAAGAGCCGTGGCTCCCGGACCGCGTCCGGTACGCCCGCTGCCTGCACATTGACCCTCTGGCTGTCCTCTGTGTCTCTGTCCCAGGCCTGCACGCTGCTCTTCATGGTGCTCTACTTCTTCACCATGGCCGGCAGCGTCTGGTGGGTCATTCTGACCATCACCTGGTTCCTGGCGGCTGTTCCCAAGTGGGGCAGCGAGGCCATCGAGAAGAAGGCCCTCCTGTTCCACGCCTGCGCTTGGGGCGTCCCCGGCGTCCTCACCGTCGCCCTGCTCGCCATGAACAAGATCGAGGGGGACAGCGTGAGCGGCGTCTGCTTCGTGGGGCTGTACAACCTGACGGCGCTGCGCTGGTTCCTGCTGGCGCCGCTGGGATTGGACGTGGTGGTGAGGACGAGCGCAGGAGGACATTGTTTGTTCTGTCATGTTGAAATGGATTTATTTTGTAATGGCCAAAGTGGGAGGGACGTCCTGTGTCCCAGAACGTGATCCGTGCGAGCTAAGCGCCCCCCCGTCCCGTCCCCCCAGGTCGGCGTGGCGCTGCTGCTGGCAGGCATAGCCGCACTCAACCGCGTCCGCATGGAGATCCCGCTGGAGAAGGAGAACCAGGAGAAACTGGTCAAGTTCATGATCCGCATCGCCGTGTTCTCCGTGCTGTACCTGGTCCCCCTGCTGGCCGTCCTGGGCTGCTTCCTCTACGAGAGCAGCCGCCGCGCCGTCTGGGAGACCACCTGGGTCCAGGAGAAGTGTCGGGATTACCACATCCCCTGCCCCTACCAGGTGACTCCCCAGCCAGAGGCCTGTCGGCTGCTAACTACATATATGTACATATTATTTAAGCAATAAGGTACTTTATCCTCAATAATGTAACAGCTGTAACATTATTGGACGATAAAGTACAGCCTCAAGTACCTTATTGCTTAAATAACCTCAACCAATCAGAACGCTGGATTTCTTCTACCCGTATTATAAGTTGAATTAATGTATTTCTAGTTTCTTTGTTGTAGTCTAATAAGTGATTCAAAGTGCATTTCACATATAAATGCATCATCTATCACGCACTGACTATCATCAGTTCTGAGCGTAGAAACATTCAACAGAAGACGATATTCATTTGGAACATGTTCACATAGTAATTAGCTAACAGCACTGTCTGCGTGATGATGTCATAGCTGAAACATCCCATAATCCGGCTCAACGGAGCTTTACAAACCAATGAGTAGTCGGATGGAGGCGCCCAGATGCTGATGCATGGATTCACATGCGTCTATCACCGTTTGCACAGATGTTTGTACACAGTACTTATAAAACTGGGGCTTTGAAAGGAAGCTGGAAGGCCGAGCAGGAGGTCACAGCTGGGAGGAGGCTGACAGCCGCCAGATGTTTGCACACACACGGACGTTAGAGAGCCAGATGTCTTAAAAACAGCCAAGCGCTTTTAAAGGCAATGCACGCACGCACACACACACACACTCTGCATCACTGTGACAGAGCTGTTAATAATCCAGGCGGTTCCTTTCAGCGGCATCACGTCCCTGTGAGACCGAGTGTCCACAGTGGATCTAAAGTCTGCGTCTTTACGCGTCGACGCACTGGTTTCACGTCCTGGTTGTAAAGTCCTGCGTGTGTTGCAGAGCGATTCACCTCCAGAACAACAGGTGGAGTCACGTGTTTTGTTGAAGACGACCTGGAGAGTCACGTCTGTGTGTGTGGAAGTCGCTGGTTGCTTTATTTATGTATCATAGACTTTATTGCCCCGTGCATCCACACTGCTGCTTTTCATCAAGGACACATTTGTCCCGTATTTTCCTCCACGACTTTGTCCCCCTCGTTTGTGGAGATCTCCCTCCATGAATCAGAGGCCATCCGGCGTCCTCATAGTCCGCCAATGACGGCTTGTACAAGCGCTCATATTTAAAAGCTCTTCAATCTGATCCGTTCTCTCGTAAACGTTCTTCCTTTTAATAACGGCCGTATTGTGCTGTGAAAACGGAGACGTGAGACTCTAAAGGACGCAGTCAGAGACCAATCACAGCCTGGTGTCTACAAACTGTGTATCCAGCAGTGATGCAGAACCGTGCAGATGTTCACGCAGTAGAAAGAATTCTGAAGAAAATAATAATAATTTTTATTAGTATAACAAGAATTATTGAGCAGGACGACAAATGTACAGCAGAAATATAAAAAGTGTGCGTGTGTGTGCGTTCAGGTGGAGCGAACCAGCCGCCCGGACTTGGCCGTGTTCCTGATCAAGTACGTGATGATGCTGATCGTGGGGATCCCCTCCGTGTTCTGGGTGGGCAGCAAGAAGACCTGCTTCGAGTGGGCCGGCTTCTTCCACGGCAAGAGACGCAAAGAGTACGTACAGACCTCTGGCTTTACAACTTGACGCCACACGCACACGTTAACATGTCAGTGAGGAAAATAAGACAAAAAATATATATGCACTTTTTCTAGTGGGGGGGGCTGGTATACCGGCAGGGGGACATATCGTAATAAAAGTATCTCACAGCAAGCAAAGAACAACGACAACAACAACGTCTTTTGAAAAGTTTCAATGTTTATCCGCTGGTCTCCGTCCTGATGGACACAACTACACACATGATGTAAATACACGTATGCAAATACACTGTACATTCATTTGTATACAAGCAGGCCTTACTGTCGGGCTGTATCTGATACCGAGTTAGTTCTTATTTAAAGAGAAGCAGTGATCTGATCTGATGACTCGAGTCCTCTCGTACATATTATATATATATATATATATAATTACTACTTTACATGCATGTTATACTTTTTGATGGTGTCTTTTAGGCGTCCTCCACATACAATAATATACATGAAGTATTATGTACTTCACTGCAGGTGATAAACTGCACACGTAGCGTGTGAGACATGAGGGGTCGTGTCCGCTCAGCAGCCGTGTGCACACGCGTGTCATGTGGCTTGGTGGTGAACACTGGCCCTTTTCTGCGCTCACCCCCCCCCCCCCCTTCCAAACTCAGAGCATTAACCTCCTCTCCCACCGCCTGCTCCACACACTCCTCCATCCTCTTCTACCACACCCACCGCCTGGCCGCCTTCCCCCTGTCCCTCCCCACCCTGCTGCATCTCTCCCTGCCCTCCCTCCCTGCCCTCCCTCCCTCTTCCTCCCATCGCTCCGCCCCCTCCCTGTCCTCCTCCTCCACCCGCTGCAGCGCGATGGTCCACGAGAGCCGGCAGGTGCTCCAGGAGCCCGACTTCGCCCAGCTGCTGCTCAGGGACCCCAACGCGGCCATCGTGAGGAAGTCGCAGGGCACGTCCACCCAGGGGACGTCCACCCACGCCTCCTCCACCCACTTGGCCATGTTGGACGAGCCGCCCAGCGGCAGCACCAGCCGGGCCGGCTCGGTCCGCAGCTCCAAGATGAGCAGCTACCACGGCAGCCTGCACCGCTCCCGGGACGGCCGGTAGGTGTGATGTGTTTGTGTGTGTGTCCTCCGCGCACAGAGGGCCGGGCTCCTCACGCTGACGTTTGTCCTCACAGGTACGCGGCCTCCGGCTTCCGGGCCCCAGATGAGCGGCTGCCCTACGGCAGCATGTCGCGCCTCTACGACCAACAGTCCAGACACTGCAGCACCAACCGGCTGGACAGCCAATCACGGCACGGCTCCACCCAACGGCTGGACTCGCGGCACGGCAGCGCCAGGGACCTCACCAGCACCACCCAAGCGGTGTATGGTGTCGCTGGAAACGGGATTCACCGAGTCCTGGAGGAGGATCGGTGTTCGGCTTCGGAAGGATTTCTCTCTTAGGAAGTGAGAGAATGCGTGAAGGGTCCACAGTGAGCGGGACAGGAAGCAAAGGACGGTGTCCTCTGAGGACGTTAGCTACAATAGCGCTACATGCAGCCAAGTGAAGCGCACGGATCGATGGCTTAAAATGTCCTCTCAACTTTACTCTTCCCTCTTTTCCAAAAACTGAGGGGCAAAAACAATCTTTGTCCAAACCACGACGGGTCCAGTGGTCCTGACGGGTCCCCGACACTGGAAAAAGTCTACGAGGCTCCCGACTGTTGGGCCTGCTTTACTGAGCCGGTTGGGACCATAAGGGACCATCTCTGCTGGACTGATGCGACTTGTTTGTAGAAAGGACGGATGTGAGAAACTGCAGGCGCCTTCTCTTCTAGACGCCTTGTTCTTCTTAAGATTTACTGGCTACATGTGACAGTTTGTTGCACCTCTTAATAACTGTGGTAACGTTACCTGCTGGAGACATTTTTATAAAGGCTGTTCATTCACACCTGAGGGCTGAATTCCTTTAGAGAACAACCAAAAATGTGACTCATCTCATTTTAAAACTTTTTATTTTTACATTGAGGTACTTCATTGCTTTGCTGTGACGGCTGGAACAAGAGAGACGACTACATTTCCCAGAATGCAAGAGCCTGAACAGCAAAACAAGCTGAAACCAAACTGCTGCCTTATGACTGCGTGTTCGTTCAGTGGAAGGATTCTACCATCAAATCTGCCCCGGTGTTAGCCGCTAGCTCGCACCCGGTGTTAGCCGCTAGCTCGCACCCGGTGTTAGCCGTTAGCTCGCACCCGGTGTTAGCCGTTAGCTCGCACCCGGTGTTAGCCGCTAGCTCGCACCCGGTGTTAGCCGCTAGCTCGCACCCGCTAGCTCGCACCCGGTGTTAGCCGCTAGCTCGCACCCGGTGTTAGCCGTTAGCTCGCACCCGGTGTTAGCCGCTAGCTCGCACCCGGTGTTAGCCGCTAGCTCGCACCCGGTGTTAGCCGTTAGCTCGCACCCGGTGTTAGCCGCTAGCTCGCACCCGGTGTTAGCCGTTAGCTCACAGGTGCTTTCTTTAAATAGGTAAATTAGAACCACGTTGGGTAGTTTGTCCTGTTTAGAAATGTTTCCTTACTTGTAAAAACTTTGTAATAAAGCTTCTTTTAAAGAATGGACGGACGTTAATAAGAAGTAATGACCACAGCAACACTGGTTTATATTCGTAACAGCCCTCCGCTTTATTGAAATACATCGGAGTCAGGTTAATATAATGAGTTCTCCAGAGGTGTGGCAGCCAGTTCCATACATTATTTTTGTTTGACCTTACACCTTAAATATTTTTTTTGTGCAAAAAAGAATCTACATCACCTGTAGTGGGTTATCCTCAGTAAAACGCCCAAACCGTTCAAAAGGGAGCAAGTCCAAGTAAAACAAACCAAAAAATGATTACATCTAAAACATGCAAAACTGTACAAATTATTACAAAGCAATCCTAGAAAGAAAACAACGTAATGATATGAAAGAGCAAAATAATATAGAAGGTATTGTAGATAAAACCTCACTGAAATGCAAAGGCGTTTGATTCATTCTGTATTATTTTCTTCCACAGCCATCACCCCCCCCCCCCCCATCTCATCTACTGCTGGAGCCACATTCACCTCCTTCATCCATCCACATGAAAAGAATTCATTGGTTCTGACATTTCCTGAGTTTCTCCCCCTCTTCATCTGTCTACGGTCAGTTTTCTGTACAATGGCCATAATAAAACACCTGGCTAACCCCCCCCCCCCCCCCCCCATCTAATACATTCTGCAGGAGGACCGCAGACTGGTCAGCTTTAAAAGAGGTGGTTTCTTGGAATGAAACGTATTCCGGCTCTGCAGAAGAAACGGAATACTTCAAAATAAAATACTTGGAATGGGCTTTAACGCGCCGCTTTGTTTCAAACGGGAATCGGCAGGAATGACACTTTCTAACAAAGACAGGAGGAATAAAGTGGAGGCGTCCGCTCCTACAGACGGAGTACTGCGTGTGTGTTCACACGGTGGAGATGCAGCCCGGTGACGGTGCGAGTGTTTAAGTGAAGACATTCTCATTTTAGTGTTTAGTAGTGAACAGATCAACCAAAGACCACGAGGGTTCAAAGTGTCTCTCGTCCTTTTCCCGCTCAGTGGGAGGACTTCCAACCAGAAACACACACACACACACACACACGTGTGCGTTCACATGTTTACCTGACGGGCAGCACACAAACCGAGTGTGGAAAACAAACATACAATAAAAAACAAACCAATTTAAAATCTCACGGTAAAAAAAGAAAACTGGGAAGTGGTTTAAAACGGCCTAAATGTGTGAAAACAAAAGGATCTCCCGTCTCTGTAGTGTTTTCCGTCTCATATATTACTCTCTACTTGAACCTATGTACATTGTTGTCATGGGAACCTGCGAGCTGCACGCTGGGTGATGTCACTCCGATGGGGGGGGGGGGGGGTCACAGGAGATGTGGTGATGTCATTCGAGCCGCCGTTGTCAACGCTGCTTGTTGTCAAAATTAAAAAAAAATGTTATAAAGTCACTGCAGTTAATACCAAGCGCAAAATAAAAAATAGATCATTGCTTTCTTTCTACTTTTTTTTTTTTACATTTTCAATTTTTGCAGCATCCAAAGAGGAAGCGGCGCGGGGGGGGGGGGCGCAGGGGGGGGTTAAGCTCCACCCGCCCGAGTCGACCGTGAAGCAAACCTACTTTTCCTTCTCTAAGATTGATAAATAAATTAAAGTATTGTCCCCAAAACCCAAAGGGTCCCATATGTACAAGTACAAATCAGGTTCTCTCCAGATGCTCCTCTTCTCTCTGTTGCATTCAGAGTGAATCTAAACGGGGGGGGCAGGACACACACACGTTCTCATATCGCTGCTTCTCCCTCAGAGGGACGGCGGAGCCTCCGACCGGGACAAATGGAGGGTGTAGAAGTGGGTGCAGTTCTCTGGGCACTGAGGGGGAATATTCAGAGAAAAAGCGATAGGCGGAGGAGGAAGAGGAGGGATTGTTTGGAGTCCTGTGCTGTCGGTGGAGTTTGGGTGGGGGGTGGGGCGCAACGGCGTGTAGCTGACGGAGGCTCATGTGTCCCAGCCCGTGCGGTCCGTGCTCTCCAGGGACAGGGACTTGGCCTTGTGGGGGGAGGCCGGACTGGGAGGGCTGCTGAAGGTGGAGCTGTTGGAGGCCGTGGAGTGGCGAGGCGAGTCTGAATCCTGCAGGCGGAGACCAATGAGGAGAGAGAGGGGGGGGGGGGGGGGGGGTTAGAACAGCAGAGGAGAGCGTTCTAGTATCAGTCCGGCCTGCGATAAATGAAGCTAAGCTAAGGACACAAGGAGGTGGAACCACCACCTTCCACATCACCAGCTCAAATGACCAGAAACGACCAGCTGGAGGAAAACAAACATGCAGGACAGTTGGGGGGGGGGGGGGGGGGGGGGGGCTTCATAATACGACTGGCTGCGATGTGAGACTCCTCCCACGTGAGGTCCAGTGTCTCCAGTGACCACTGATTTACACACACACACACACACACACACACACACACACACACACACACACACACACACACACACACACACACACACACACACTCTGCATTCAGTGCACAGGTTGTGTATTGGTTGTGTATTGGGAGAAGCACTGCCCAGCCACGTTTACAGACACACACACGTGACATCGTGCAACCAATCAGTCTTTGTCTTCTGGACCGGCGAGGTGACGTCACTGCGCCCTGCAGCGAGCGCCCTGCAGCAAGCGCCCTGCAGCGAGCGCCCTGCAGCGAGCGGGGTCGGTGGTTCTGCTCCGTGCAGCAACGCGGGCCGGGAGCAGACATGCGGTGCGGACGGATGACGGGGCGGACCGACTCCGGGGGGAGGTGACAAAGCCTTCGCATGGTGCTGCGGTGACGGGTGGAGGCGGAGCGGCACAGGGTGGAGGCTGGCGGGTAGTGAGACGCGGTGTGTGATGCGTGTGTTCCGTGACACGGTGCTCGCCGCGTGTGTTTGGGGACATTACCTTCATCTTACTAAGCAGGGTCCTTAAAGCCCTTTTCAGATCGGGGGTCTTCTCCGACGGTGAGACCGCCTGCCACTGCAGAGGAGAGTTCACAGCTCAGCACCCACAGACAACATGCTGGGTGGGAGGGGGGGGGGGAGGGGGGGCAGAGGAATGGAGCGGGCAGCGTCCGGGCTCACGGCATGGGGATGGGGGGGGGCGATGGAGGAGGATGGGGGGGGCGCGGGAGGGAAGGCGGGCGGTCCGTCGGCGGTGGGGAACTAATGTACATTTACCGTTGGATCCATTTCATCTGACAGGAAATGTCTGAAACACGTTGGGGGGGGGGCGACATGTGAGAAGGGAGCAAACGGGAGGATGACTGACAGAACGCCCGCCCCCCCCCCCCACCGGTCAGGTGGTAACAATGGCTTCAAACTATTGATCAACAATAGTTTCCCTCAGCAGGAAGCGCTGGTGACGTCACAGGGAGCTGACGGGCCGGTCAGAGCGGTGGGATGAGGGGGGGGGGGGTGTCAGGGGGGGTCTTTCAGTGGGGAACAATGGGATCGCTTCTTCACGTCGCATTTAAGACAGTCATGGCGTGCAGGTGGACAAAGCTGATGTTGTCTCAGAGACTCTGGCGGCGGCGTATTTACTGACCTCTCTGTCAAACTGGGACAGCGGAGCGTCCCCGCAGTCCACCCCCCCGCCGGAGGACAGGGAGCTCTCCGAGGGGGAGGTCATGGCCTGCCGCTTGGATCCGTAGCTCCCCCCGGACAGCTCTCGGCGCAGCGCGCTGCCGTTCTGGGAGGACGAGCCTGGACGGAGAGGACGGACGGAGGACTGCTTGAGCAAAGGGCCAGTGGTGGTGGTGGGGGGGGGGAGGGGCTTACTGACTGGTTGCTAGGGGCAGCGACGGGTCCTGCGGTTACTCACGTATGCCCAGTCCGCTGCTGGCGCTCATGGAGCGGCCCGGCTCGCCGCGGTTCTTGGTGATGGAGGGGATGCTGACGGAGCCGCTGAAGCCCGCGCGGCTCTCCTGAACACGGACGTTCTGGTTTAAACACGCATGGAGCACACGCACACACACACGCACACACACACGCACACACGCACGCACACGCACGCCAGAGTGCAGTGCCGGGGGGGACAGGAGTGAGGAGTGAGGATGGAGCACATGCTCTACAGATGAACACAATCGGCCACTGAGGTCTAAGCGGAACGGCACGACCTCTGCTGCCGCACAGCCGGGGGGGGAGGGGGGGAGAGAGGGAGGGGGGGGGTGGGGGGGGGGGGGGGGCATTTAAAGGATGAAGGAGCGTGAGGGAGAGGAGCTTTTTACTGCTGTGACTCAGATGCTGGCGTGATACACTGAACATCTGGATGAAGAACAAAGGCAGCAGACACACGTTGTGTCCGTTTCAGTGTGTGTGTGTGTGTGTGTGTGTGTGTGTGTGCGTGTGCGTGTGCGTGTGCGTGTACCATGGGCAGATCTTTAAGGATCTGGATGCCGTCTCCTGGTCCCATGTGGGCCACGTGGTTGAAGTTGGTGGGGTTGGAGATGAGCTTGTTCCTCATCTCTGGATCACGCAGCATCTCCCTGGGAACACAAGTGGAGCTTCAGGTGTTGATGTTTCGCTACCTGGTCACGTTCCTCGAGCTGCACTGACGACAGTGATGATCAAGAAGCAGAGAGCGAGTCCTCCTGCAGGTACCGACCTCCTCTGCTGGAGCCGCTCCTCCTCCGGCACCCTGAAGGAGAAGCGCCTCTTGTTGTTCATGCTGCGCACCATCTGCTTCCTGCTGGCGTCCGACGTCTCCGGGACCACCAGCTCGTCGCCCTCTGGAAGAGCGCATGTTGATGAGAGCGACTAGAGGGACGCGACCTTCTACGGTCACAGATCACGTGGTATAAGCAGCAGATGAAGTAAGAAAAGGCCCTGAAGCGCCGTGTCCTGCTGGTAGGACGAGGAGTGGAATCGACTCGGACAATTTGATGCAGGTGGTTCTCTTACCGGCCATCTTGTTTCTGAAGTAGATGAGCCGGACGGTTTCCAGTCCCAGCAGGTTCAGAGAGCCGTCAACGTTCAGGGCTCGCACCTGAGGGGGGGGGACAAATCCATCATCAGGCCTCCACAACTATCCATCTATTGACACGGCAGGGTGCGGCTGCTATGGTGACAGAGGCTCCAGCAGGGGGAGCCAGTGAGGAATCGATTTATCTGTTTGTAAGTTTTCTATTTTAACTGGATGTTATAAATAATAGTTGATCTAAGAATAAATGAAGCTCCTCTCGTTACAAATAAAAAAGGGCTGGACAGATTTTTAAAAATCTTGATTTCATAAGAATCTGACCGATCCGTCCGGTGCCTCTAAACCCGGTGGTCTGTGTTTGGGGGGAACCCTGCTGAGTGGTGTGGTCTTCACGGCACTGACCTTCTTGAGGGGGAGGGTCTGAATCCACTCCATGGTGTTGACGTCGAACACGTCCACGGCGTTCTCGCTGTACACCGACAGGTAGGGGGCGTTGTAGCCTGGACGAAAAGGACGAGGCATTTAGCTCAGACATCTGCCTCTTTGTTTCGTCACACAGCGGCGCGTCCTGCACTCACAGGCGGAGTTGGGAACAGCTGGCCACATCAGCTCCTGCTGACGGGACCGCCGGCCCTGCGAGTCCACGTACACGCCGATGGAGCTGAAGCACAGCAGCAGCTCTTTGCTGGAGATCTCCACGGCGCAGAGGGCCTCCAGGCTCTGCTGGGGGATGAAGGCCAGCGTGTGGTCCTCGTGGTGGAGCAGGTTGACGGGGGCCACGTCTCCGTGGACACTGCGGACGTCGTCACAGTCAGATTGACTCAGATCATCGTGCTGCTCAGTCGGTTAACGTGGAAGCACTGAGGTAACGGCAATCCGCTGACAGGGAGCGTACCTGTAGCGGGTGAAGCCGGACTGGTAGCCCACGTAGAGGCGCTCACTGAGCAGCCCCATCCACTGCACCGGCCCCGGGGCCTGAACCTCCCGCAGCCGCCGGTGGCGTCCTTTACTCTTATTCACCTGGAGGTTTCACAGGAATGCGATGAACAAAGGGCAGCGTGGCGGCCAGCTGCGAGCGAACAGGCCCGCGCTCTCACCTCGTAGCATATGACTTGTCTCTTCATGGCCACGCACAGGCAGGTGAGCGAGCCGCCGCGGACGGGCCCGGAGACGATGCTCTGGCAGCCTCGGGTCTCGGCCAGCTTGTAGGAGTCGGTCTCGCGGCCGTCCAAGGCCTGCGTGGGGAAGAGACGGACGTGGCGGTTCCTGCCGGAGATCACCGCCAGCAGCTGCTCCTGCAGGATCAGGTCGATGTGGTGCACCTTCTTGTTGTCCCCCACCCGGATTATTTCTGAGGACAGAGGGAGAGGGAGTGAAGATAAGGGGGGGGGGGGGGGGCACAAAGCATCAGGGACACCGCACACATCCTCGAGAGCGGGTTACCATCTTTGGTGACATGGACGACGAAAAGGCCTTCCTCGTTGCCCAGGGCGACGCGCTCGTGATCTGAGGCAGAGCAGACGGGTCAGTGCCAGTAGAGCAGTTTCTGCTACGCAAACACACAGTGCCGAAGCCCACCTATGATGGCAGCGGACTGCGTGGTCTTGATGAGCGGCAGCGTGCTGTCGTAAGCCTCCTTGGGCACGTAGACGAAGCGCTCCTTCAGCTTGTTCTTCTTGAGGATGCGGTGGAGCTCGTTGAGGAGACCCACCCACTTGTTCCTCTCCTGGTCGCTGTCGGCCAGGATCAGGATGGAGGGCTTGTGGTTGCTCGAGTGGGAGAGCTGGGACGCCGTCACCTGGGGAGACAGGGGGGTTGCATCGCAGCGCGTCAGAGCGCGGCGTGAAGCGTTGGGTTTTTTCTTCTTCGCCACCAGAGAAGTCGGTCTTACTCTGAATATACAAGGGATGTCTTTGCGGCTGGCGTGGATGACGTCAGAGGCCAGGACAGAACTGACCGAAAACTCTTCATCCCTGAAAGGAAGGAGATGAAGGTTAGATCGATCAAGGGATGCTTCTAGAAAAATGCCAAACATCAGCTTGTGAAACGTGTCGGCTGAACCAAACCACCACAGCCCCCGGGCGCCTCTCCACGTACCTCATGTCGATCACTTGGCTCACCACGACACTCGGCTGCGTGACTTTTCCTTCTCCCAGTTCGTAGAGGAACAGTTTGAAGTCACAGACCACCGCCATCGCTCTCTGCCACCCCTTCTTAACGCCGGTCGGTTTGGGCACCTAGAAAAGGACACAAGACGTGGGGGGTGAAACTACGCGGACGAGTACAGAAGACGCGCTGCCTCGCGGGAGCAAAGGTGGCGATTGGGATTAAACTGGCGGCGTAAGACTCGCGTGTGCCCCATTCACACGTTAACCAGTGTTATCAACGTCTGACTCACCCGGACGTGCCCTTCATACGCAGTACCAATCCCCTTCTGGGGGTCGATGCCCAGCGGGCCCTTGGTCTGGTCCTGGGGGACGGGGCACACAGCCGGAGCTTTGTCCGCACAGGTCACATGGCAGGAGAAGTTGCACACTGGACCAGAGAGACGCAGGAAGTTAAACGTTAAAAACCAGAAGGAAGCTTGAAATGGTGAATTGGTTCAACTTTAACATTCGTGTCCTCACCTTCACAGGTGCAGCCTTGACGTATGAGGCCCACCATGAGGGAGGTGCACTGGTTGCACTTAGTGGGCGTGCTGAAGGACTTCACCACGAACTGGTGCGCTTTGGGCTGTGGAGGGAATCAAGAGAAAGAGCGTGAACGAGGAGAGAGAGAGCAGACGCATCAAACATGTGGAGCGATCCCCCCGGGGGGGAGGCTCTGACCTTGGGAGAGGAGCGTCCAATGCTGCCGTACCCTCCGGAGCGCATGGTGGGGGTCTGCACGGCGCGAGGAGGGTGGTCTACCAGCTGCACCACAGAACACACACAACACAACACCTGTTAATGTCCATCGGCTCCCCAAACAGCAGCAGTGAGACACTGAGCTGTTTAGATGTAGTCTGACCTCTATGGGCTCCACGTCACTGGCCATGGAGGGGGACCGCGAGCGGGACTTGAGGTGGGACTTGGGGTCATCTTCCCTGGAGGGAGTGTTGGAGGGGGTGAAGTTCTCCATGGAGTCCATCTGAAGGGAGAGAGGGGGGGGTGGTGTGGAAACATAAGTCAGGAAACATGAAATAAGATGGAGAGGAAGGCGGTGATGAGACAGATGGAGAGGAAGGTGGTGATGAGGCAGATGGAGAGGAAGGCGGTGATGAGGCAGAGGAAGGCGGTGATGAGGCAGATGGAGAGGAAGGTGGTGATGAGGCAGATGGAGAGGAAGGTGGTGATGAGGCAGATGGAGAGGAAGGTGGTGATGGAGAGGATGGAGAGGAAGGTGGTGATGAGGCAGATGGAGAGGAAGGTGGTGATGAGGCAGATGGAGAGGAAGGCGGTGATGAGGGAGATGGAGAGGAAGGCGGTGATGGAGAGGATGGAGAGGAAGGCGGTGATGAGGCAGATGGAGAGGAAGGTGGTGATGAGGCAGATGGAGAGGAAGGTGGTGATGAGGCAGATGGAGAGGAAGGCGGTGATGAGGCAGAGGAAGGCGGTTGATGAGGCAGATGGAGAGGAAGGCGGTGATGAGGCAGATGGAGAGGAAGGTGGTGATGAGGCAGATGGAGAGGAAGGTGGTGATGAGGCAGATGGAGAGGAAGGTGGTGATGAGGCAGATGGAGAGGAAGGCGGTGATGAGGCAGATGGAGAGGAAGGCGGTGATGAGGCAGATGGAGAGGAAGGCGGTGATGAGGCAGATGGAGAGGAAGGCGGTGATGAGGCAGAGGAAGGTGGTGATGAGGCAGATGGAGAGGAAGGTGGTGATGAGGCAGATGGAGAGGAAGGCGGTGATGAGGCAGATGGAGAGGAAGGCGGTGATGAGGCAGATGGAGAGGAAGGCGGTGATGAGGCAGATGGAGAGGAAGGCGGTGATGAGGCAGATGGAGAGGAAGGCGTGATGGAGAGGATGGAGAGGAAGGCGGTGATAAGAAGCGGGTCCCGTCTGCTCACATGGAAAACACACACGTTGTGGTTAAAATGCGTCATATGAAATGCAGTGGACTTTAAAAGCCACAAAGGAAAACCACCACAATTGTATTGCCCCCCAGTGACCCCAAGCAGACACACCCCCCAGCATGCACGGCCCCCCCACAAGGCTACAACATGAGTTCCTCAGAACCAATGGCATGCAGCCACACAGACACACACACACACAACAAGCACCCATGTGACGGGACAACACGTTCAGAAGGGCTCAATGAAGCCACGTGATGGTGCTTACGCGTCGGCCTTTGCTCGCCGGGCCAACGGATGGCGAGCGCTTCAGCGGCAGGAAGCAGAGTGGCAGAAACACAGATGTGAATATCAGAGAGCTGCAACGTTACGCAGACTGAGGGCGTCTGTCACCTCAGCGGGTTTAAACCAGCACTTTTTCACTAACGTTAACTATTTAAAACATTCACCCACCATTTACAGAAACTATTTCAACAATTGTATCAGTTTGTTTCAGCCATTCATTCATTATTCGTCTATTTCATTCATTCACTGGGGAACCAGCGCAGCACAAACGGCCCTCGTGGGAAATGCACCTTAAGCTTCAACAAGCCGAGATTGATTGGCAGCTCAATTGTTATATTGAATGTACTTTAGATCAAAATAAGTCACTGGAATGGGCGGATGGGAGCAGGAAAAAGGAAACATGGAGCAACTCAAGTGAAGGAAAAATGACTGAAAAAAGGTAAGACGGGTTTAAGGATTTAAAAAATGAACTTTGTAGTTCTGTTCTAGCGCCGATGAGTTAGAACCATTCAAATAGCCCAATGGCCTAAAAGAACTAGCAAGAAAAAAACAATATACAAACTAGAAACAAATCATGTGCATTAGAAGAATTAATCTGATTGCATGTATTTGTAGTAAGGAAATACTTCTCTGATCTTGTTAAAATGTGTTTCTGCAGGAGTCCTGCTCTCGCTTACACTGCTGCACGGACACAAACTCAAAAGACACAATATGGATACACAGATCTACAATAAAATACTCCTACAACTACTGCGACACACACACGGACCACTGCTCCTCAAGAGAAACTTACGTCTTCCCAAAACTCAATTAAAGAAGATGAGGACGAGGAATAAGAGTCCTGATGGACCCGAGAATGAAGCAAGGAAACAACCAAAAGGACACAAATACATGTAAACAAAACAGAACAAAACATGAAAGCATGAAGAAAAAGCACAGATATAATTTCTTTTAATGCAAGTTTCTAATTTCAAGTTTCTAATTCTCATAGATTTCCATCTGTAGCTGCAGAAGGATTTCAGGTGGCCCACATGCATGTTGGGACTGAATACTTACATCAAACTGGTCCAGCGCTGATGTGGGCGCGTTGAGAAAAGCCAAGAAGGAATTCTGGGAATCCTGGTGCTTGACACCTTCAGACACAGAACAAATAACACAACGGTGGTTAAGTATGTGATATTAACACATCAAAGGGTGACTTAACCAAAGTGAGTCACAGGACCTGTGTTCATATGACCTCAGTAACAATGCATCTCATGCACATCGCACGCGCCTTCAGCTGACATACGGCTGCTGATGAGATGAAACCCCTCACAAAAACGTTTATTTAACTCACTATCCGAAAATGTACATGAAAACATTTCAGTGTTTCCGTCGGTTTAAACTTTCAGGAGAATAAGAGACGCACGCTGCTTCATGTCATGATGGACACAATATTCGGGGAGGGGGTTAATTTGAGGGTGGGGGCCCCCCCCGGCTATAATGGTGCATTCAGCAGTCCGCGTGTTGGAGGCTGACGCGTGGGTGGATGCGGGGGAAGGTGTGGGTGGATGACGGGGGAACGCGTGGGTGGATGCGGGGTGAACGTGTGGGTGGATGCGGGGGAACGCGTGGGTGGATGCGGGGGAACGCGTGGGTGGATGCGGGGGAACGTGTGGGTGGATGCGGGGGGAACGTGTGGGTGGATGCGGGGGAACGCGCGGGTGGATGCGGGTGGATGCGGGTGGATGCGGGGGGAACGTGTGGGTGGATGCGGGGGAACGTGTGGGTGGATGCGGGGGAACGCGTGGGTGGATGCGGGTGGATGCGGGGAACGTGTGGGTGGAATGCGGGTGGATGCGGGGGAACGTGTGGGTGGATGCGGGGGAACTTTGGGTGGATGCGGGGGAACGCGTGGGTGGATGCGGGGGAACGCGTGGGTGGATGCGGGTGGATGCGGGTGGATGCGGGGGAACGTGTGGGTGGATGCGGGGGGAACGTGTGGGTGGATGCGTGGGAACGTGTGGGTGGATGCGGGGGATGCGGGTGGATGCGGGGGAACGTGTGGGTGGATGCGGGGGAACGTGTGGGTGGATGCGTGGGAACGTGTGGGTGGATGCGGGTGGATGCGGGGCAGTGGTACCTCTGCGTAGCCGCAGCTCCTCCGTCTCTCTCTTCAGCCGGTCGATCTCGGCCAGCAGCTCCTGGTTTCTACCCTCCACATCCTGCAGTTTACTGTTGGTCCCCGACAACAATGAGTCGCATACGAGCCTGAGCTTCATGAACACTTCTATTCTATACATTCTATATCTAAGTATCCGTACCATTCTGTGGACATGTTGTCGGCCTTGACCTTGTTCAACTCGTCTTGGATGCTCTGCTTGGCTCTAATCTCAGCATCTAAAGCCGACTGCAGCTCCAGACGGGCGGACATGTCCAGCTTGGCAAAGCGCCGCATCTTCCACGGCATGTCCTGGAACAGAGCGGTGAAAGATGGAGGTCAAATGAGAGAGGAGTTACTTATTAGGCAACCTGTGATAAAGCTGATCTATTACTTATTACCAATACTAGTCTGTCAATATAATAGCAATCGTTAAAGTGAAACAAGGCCAAACACAACACAATCCGACTCATTCATCATCCTTATCGCATCTCCAGCCTGCATTTGAATAATACGAGGATTGTTTATTTGACTTAACAGCATCTATCGTAGTTTAAGACTGTGTGTGTGTGTCTCACTGTGGATCTCGCTCCCAGGCTGGTGTTTCTCAGTCCCTCCAGCTCCTCGGTCATCTTAGTGGCCAGAGCCTGCAGGTATCCCCGGGCATCCTTCTCGTCACTCACCCTGCAGGAAACAAACGTTCATATTTGCTTTAATCTGCAGCCAAAGAACTTCAATGACAAGCTTTGTCAACGTATAATATTCCACCCACTAAACGATGTTGTTTCGTGGTTTGTCTGCAGTATCACAGCTTTTCCACTAGAGGGCAACATGAATCACTAGATTCTTCTAAATGCATTCCAGACTGAGCATTTGTATGTGCACGTTTGGAATGTGTTCTATGTGTCTGTCGGCCTTTGAATGGATGCACCGTGTGTGTGTGTGTGTGTGTGTGTGTGTGTGTGGACTGCAGGGCTCGTCCAACAGAGCGAAGCCGAGCAGCTGCTGAGGAGTCACATGAAGGGAGGGTCAAATAGCACAAAGATATTTAGAGGCATGTGAGAAATGCTGCAGCTATTCTGAATAGAGGCACCCAACACACCACTCAACAGCACCGTGACTATGTGTCCTTCAGCTTGTGTGAACGCGTTCATGGAGGTATGCGCCTCGGCGAGTGTTGTGGATGTTGGAGTGAGTCCCTGCATGTGTGTGCGTGCGTCTCACCATTGGATTATTTCCGTGATCTGGGCCTCCCAGTGAGCCACACTTTCTTTTTTGTCCGCCAGCTCCCTCATCTCGTCCTCCAGCTGCCTGTTGGAGCCGTTCACCTTCTCAAACATGCTGGTCAGCTGAGGGGAAAACGCAGTGAAAGTCATCCATTAAACATCAGACTGAGAGGCACGTTGGTAAAGCAGCTTCAACGGCTAAATGTACCCGCTAACCCTACAGCACAGACCCGTGCTCCTGTGTAATGAGGGCAGCAGGTGTCATAGCTGCCTACAGGTAAAGACTGCTTCAATACGGAGGACGAATCGCGGTATTGTTGAAGGTTATGACAGTTGTTATTATATATATAATGTTATAAAGATTATACTAAAACCCAATCAGACACACAGCGGGCCGGGTTCTTCCTATCATCACCTCCTTGGTATCAGAGTTGTGACCACACGTCACGTGCAGATAGTTTCATCCTAAAGGTTTCATTATTGATTTCATGGGGCAGCTCTTGAGCCGTCCATCAATCCCAATGTTGGGGGGGCGACTTGCATTGGATTCATATCGCCTGACATACGAACATCATCCAAGCAGATCGGACGTATTTGGTCTGTTGGTTTTGGAGTTGGACTTTGATCAGAACGTGGGTAGTTGTTCACAGGGAGGCTGTCATGCTCACACGGATGTGCTGAGGTTTGGAAGTGAGCGGCAGCGGTTAGCGTGGCCTCCTCGGCTAGCTCTGTTAGCACGATGGCACTTAATAAAAAACTATGTCCTTAATTCACCGGGTAAATATGTAACGGCAGCTCAGATAAAAAGGTTAAAGCATTTAGCGGTGTGCTGTACAACAAGCCAGCTGTTCACCCTCAATCTGGATCTAACAGTGAAAGTTAAACCGCCGGTTTGTCTGCTCTGAAAACACAATTAAGACTGAATTAATACCTGATTTTTATACTCGGCTAACCCATCCATCCATCCATCCATGTAAAATAATGATATTCTCAAACTCTATATTCAAGGACTGTTTTGTACTGAGGATCACATCATACAGACAGATTTAATCTGTGCACAACTTCAGCTTGGAGAAATATTATTTTTCAGATTGTGAAACCGAATAAAGCGTTAAATGTGTTGAGGGACACATTTATCGCCACATTCATATTCTATCAATTTCCTCCAGACACTTTATCAGTCGCAGACTTTAAAAACAACATTTTATTGCAAATGTCAGAATGCCTTCCGCTCCGAGACATTGTTTCAATAGGGAGCCATTCCTGAACTTCCAAAGTCAATAGAGTGATTCCATCTGAACGTGCAGAGGGCTGCATGGGCCTGCATGGGCCTGCATGGGGCTGCATGGGGCATTCATGGGCCTGCATGGGCCTGCATGGGCCTGCATGGGCCTGCATGGGCCTGCATGGGCCTGCATGGGCCTGCATGGGGCATTCATGGGGGTATCGAGCAGTGATTTCTTTGGCATAGCGGGGAGAGGGCGGGATGCTGAAAGGGTTTGGGCCTGCAGGGTTGTGTGTGTGTGTGTGTGTGGTAGAGATAAACAGATACTAATACGCTCGTGGGTGTATTTTGCATGCATGTACTGATATCTGACCTTATCCAGTTCACTGGACAGCTTCTTATTCTCCTCAGTGAGCAGGACTCTCTCCCTCTCGTGCTTCTGCTTGGACTCCGTCTCAAACTCCTCACGCTCGCTGTGGCTGCAGGAAGCACACGCGCACGCACACACACGCACACACACACACACACACACACACACACGCACACAGTGTTAAGCTCGTCACACTGTAAACACTGACACAAATTCGCAGCTGCAAAATCAATCTGTCAATATAACACAAAAACTACCACAAAAATGGGGACTTTATTTAGAGATCTGTAGTTGGTGGGATGATTGAGGGCTGAATTCCAATGAAGGTCGGTCGACTTATCCACCAAAACTTCAATCCCGTGAATCATCTGCCTCCTACCTTTGTTGGTGTGTGGGCCTCAGACTTCACACATTCCCAGTAAACCTAAATCAAAGGCTTGGTGGTAAAACCATGTCCACATTAAACAGCCCAAACACATCTGATACGGCCGTGTGTTTGAAAGGGATTAGAAAGCCGGGTGAATAATACGTCAGTAACCCAACGGGCATGAAACCAGATCTTAATAAAATGTGATTAATCCAGCAGTTCCCAGCATGGGATCAGGCCCCCTGACCACCTACCAGGTGGTCTGCAGCGGAAACACAAGGGTTTTTTATCTTATTTGGCACATATTATATCCATTATTAGAAGCCATAATAACAAGTTGCCTCACTCTTTCAATTCAGAAACAACCTTTAGATTTATGTTAGCGTGAACGTCTGAAATAACATTGTGTTTTCTTGACAGTCCTGCTGCTGCTTCCCCTCTGGCAATGACATCACTAAGATCAACAATCGTTTCATTAATAGATGCTAAAACTCTAGAACTCGTCTGCGTAGCTCAGTCAAGGAGATCTGCATAGGCTCCTATTGTGGACGCATTACTACTAGTTAGAGTCTAACTATAACTAACTTAGTATAATAGTAACTTCACAGCTACTACACATTAATACCACACGTGGCCTTTTTAATAGGATGGTAATTACCTCACGCAATCATCACTGGAGAGACAATAAAGAAACAGAAATATCGTCATGATATCGGACGCCACGCGACCGGGAATACAGGAGACAAAAACAACGGATGGGATGAAGACAAAGACAGGAGCACCTCTCGCGGCGCGTCTTGTCCAGCTTGTCTTTGAGCATGAGGATCTCTTTCTGCAGGGTCAGCTGCTGGCCCTCGGCGTCCCGCAGCTCTTTGCGCGCCGCCTTCAGCTCGGTGGCGTGCTGCGCCTCCCTGCGCGCCAGCTCCTCCTCGTACAGGAGCGTCTTCTTCTCCAGGTCCCCCCGCAGGCGGCCCACCTCCTGGCTCTGGTCTGCCGAGGCCGGACCTGCGGAGGAGCCGGCCTGCTTCACCTGGTGGGGGAGAGGCGGGGGTGAGGCTGGGAGGAAGATGGGAGACGGCGTCCATGACAGTACTGAGTGTCCTGGTCTAGATGGCGTGGAGTCGGATACAGATGCGCGGAGGCTCCGTGGACGTTTCCTTACTTTAAGCCCTTCCAGGTCCTCCTCCAGCTGACGGCTGTACTGCTCGTTGCGCTCCCTCAGCTTCCTCTCCTTCTGAGCCTCCGCTGCCTGCTCCTCCGCCTGCACCTCCATCTGGTTGGTGCAGAAACTCCAGTGCGTTAGAGGCGAGCATAGACGATACTCCACGACATGGTTTCGTATCTATAGTCGTAGATTTCTACCGTACACGGGAGGTGGCAGAGGCGTGAATAGTGAGGAGACAGAACAGGGCGTGCGACCAACCACAGGGTGACTACTCTACCTCCTTCTTGGCTCTCTCGGCCTTTCGCACCTCAAGGCGGAGAGCCTCGACCTTCTGACCCTGGCTCTCCATCTCCTCCTCCTTGTCACGCAGCTGGCGGACCAGGCGCTGCTTCACCGACCTGGGGCGGAGGTTGAGTCAGACTTGGAGCAAGTACACGACCACCTAAACCAGCGCTTTGCTTAGTGGTGAGGAGCAGCGGTCCTACCGGAGGTCGGTGAGTCTCTCGTTGAGCTCAGAAAACTCCTGCATGGCCAGTTTCCTCTGGCTGTGGGCTTCCTTCAGCTCCTTGGACTGAGACTTCAGCTTCTCATTGGCCTCCAGGAGATCCTGGACAGAGAAAAGGGATGCAAGTACACATTGAGATACAGTGACTTCTAGAAGAACTCCTCTCCATCGAAGCTTTAATTAACCTTTTTTGGATCAAAGCGGAGCAGTCAGGTTTTTTATTTTCTGTGGATTTCTTATAAATATTGTGACCCCGAACAATGAAGTATATTCATGTCTTGGTAACTAGGTTTCGGTTCCCTCTGATACACATTTTAAGTATAAAAATATGTTTTTAATTACATTTGAACACTGCATTATGAGGGAAGTGTATGTGGTGTGTGGTACTTTAGCCCGGTTGTGGTTTTCCATGTGTAGCATGATAAAGGAGAATATTATCCCAAAAGGCATCAGTGCATTGACTTACATAGAGGCCGACACCTGGTCCAGTACTTTAGGCTGTTCAGGAGGCCTTTCAGATACAAGTATTGGTGCATTTCTCCCAAAAAGAATAAAGAACTAAGCATTGTTGTCCTGCCAGTGGCACGTTTGTCACCTTAGATAATAGAAGCACCGTATGTCGATGACACAGAGGAGGCTTCTACCTTGTGCATGTCATCCTTCTCCTGAGCGACGCTCTTCACCCGCCTCTCCAACGTCTTGACGTGTTTCGATGAGTCCTCCAGGTCCCTGCGGGCCAGAGACACGTCCTCCAGCTGCTTCTCTAGTTGGCCCGAGTCTGACACACAGGCACACACGCACACGGTTTTAAAATGTAACGGAACAGACTTTGACCATGGTTGTGTTAGTTTGTCAGAATGTGGTGAATTAGGAAAAGATGGCACGGAATTGAATATGAGAAGAGAAGAAGAATCCTGACCAGCGATCTGCTTCTTGAGGACGTCGATCTCACTCTTCAGACTCCTGATCTCCACCTCCTTGTTGGCGCTGGGAGGCCCCTCGCCTGTCGGGTGCTGCAGCGCCTGCACCGTCTGAGTGGCCTCTGCAACCGGCCATTTGGAAGCATCAGTTTGCTGCTTTGTTAAACTAGGTTTTTTTTGGGAAGCTGCACCAACATGTGGTTAAAGTGCATCCGGCCGTGCAGTGCGTCTCCTCACCTTGCAGTTTGCGGCACAGCTCTACTTTCTCCTGCTCCAGGCGGCTGATCCTCCGCTCATAGGCCTCTGTGGCCAGGCTGTCCTCCAGGCTGCGCTGGACATCCAGGTCCAACTGGTCCCGGCCCGCCTTCCCCGGCTCGCCCGCCAGCTGCCGCAGGCAAGCCCGGTCGGACAGGGAACTAGAGGGAAGGGGGGGAGGGCGGAGGAAAGGGGGCAGGAGGCATGAGGACCATCGCAGTGAGAGGCGGTGATTAATGAGCATAATGGTGTTTGAACAGTAGGAGAGCATTCGACATGGAGCTACGGGGAAGGACCAGAGGAGACGTGGGTGTATGTATGTGAAGGTGGAGAGGATGTGGAGTCATGTAGGGACAGGGAGGGTGGAGCAGGAATGACGGCTACAAAAAGGAAGACGCACGCACACCCCGTAATTTGCCTTTGTCAATTATCCTCCCCTTAAATATTTAACTATATCCTTAACTTCACCAACCTGAATACCAAAATAAAAAGAGACCCACCAAGTCTAAATCTAGGCAGTAGTATTATAAACAATGGCTTATATAGAATGTATTTTGGCACTTACCATTTACTGGTGTAGGTGAAGCCCACAAAGGGCAGGTGGTGGCCCGAGAAGGCCGTGTGAGAGGGAGGGGGCATGGTCTCCTGAAAGACGATCAGAAGATACGTCAGAAGTGAGATCTTTCATGCTGGTGTCTGATGAACTATCTGCACACGAGCCGCTCACCGAGTTCTTCAGGCAGTCGTCATCCACGTCGAAGTTGGAGGTGTCGGTGGGGCTGCTGACCTCTGGGATGTAGGGGGCCTCACACGACCGAACGTTTTCCCAATCAATGCCTGAGCACAAGAGCGGCCGCACTTACAGCGCGATGCAAGACCCAAAACACTGGCAATTACCAACTCAGAGAACTGATCAAACCTGATAGAAGACATTTCACTTTCTGTTGAATAGGCTGCTGTTCCTCAATATACAACATTACAAAAGAGGAAGAATATATCCATCGTTTCAAATATTAACTAACACGATACAAAAAACAAAGCAACACACCTTAAGAGTAAAAAGAAGACCGTATTAATAAATGTCACCAAAAATAAAAACAGAAATCGTTTTGTATCATCGACAGCTAAAACACATTATGGCATAAAATAGAACAAAGGCCACCAGCAGAAGCAGCGGGACATCATCCACGAGATGCTAATGCTAATCTGCTAATACACAACTGCTAGAAAGATCAGATTAAAAACAACGGCAGGAAACCACGGAGACGTTGGCTACGTTGAACTGTACCGACGAAGAAGGGGTGGTGCTTGAAGTCCTCAATGCCGTTCTGGCCCAGTCGGTGCTCTCGACTGCAAATGAGCCTGCGGATCAGATCCTTGGCGTCCTCGGACACGTCGGTGATCTGCTGGGGGAACTGGAAGCGCTCCTGCGCCGGACGGGATGGTGATTAGAGATCAGATTGCTTCTTGTAGCTGTAACGTCTGTACACGGGGTGCCTCTGTCCGTGACACCGCGTGACCCGTCCCGCTCTGCTGACACGGTCACGCATTAGCAAGACAGAAGCAGCAGAAACCCCACGGAGGAGCTCACCTTGTGGTTCATGATCTTCCCATAGGTCTCCACCAGGGACTCTGCGTAGAAAGGCGTCTCGCCGTACAGCATTTCATACATGCACACGCCCAGGGACCACCAGTCGCACTCCGGTCCATACTTGCCCTTCCCATCCTCCATGGCCTGCAGTATTTCTGGGGAGATGTAGTCGGGCGTCCCCACCGCCACGGAGGACTGCACCTAGCAGAGGCACCGGAGCAAGCGGTCAGAAACGGACCCTAAGGATGCCGCACAAAGGCTGCACGCGGATGACGAGTTACAGGCCCACGACTTTAACGTCTCACCACAGGGTTATTGAGCCTTTCATCAAATCCACGTTCATGAACCTGATGCCAAATATGGAATTAAAATCAAGGAATGATGAATTTTGCCAAAAGGTGGGGAAGAGAAAAGATGGATGTTGGCGTCGCTTCCTGTTATTTTAAGAGGTTGCAGATGAAATACAATCTTATCATAAGTCAAGGCTTCAATCTCAACGTTTCGGTGTGACCCCCCGTCGAGCCCCACGTTTATTGTTCCAAATGATCGTATAACCTCATCACTGTACTATTGGAGGGACACGTCAGGAGCTTTTCATCCAGTCATTCTTCCGTTACGTAACACCTGAGGGAAACATTTATTTCTCTGAATCAAACTGCAGCCACAGCCAAGCAGATGACCACAACCCCCCCTGGGAGAGCCGGGGGGGTGAGGAGGAGGTCACAGTAGCTCTGGTTTGTTTGCTCTGGACTGGATATCTGCAGCAGTGTGGTTAAGAGGAACAACGTACTGTCCCGTCCTCCATGAGCTTGAGGCAGGAGCCGAAGTCGGCCAGGCGGATGTGGCCGTTCATATCCAGCAGAATGTTGTCGGGCTTGATGTCCCTGAAGGAAGCCGGAGAGAAAGAGAGAAGATGAGGAACCACCTTCCAAACCAAACAACACCTATCGCACACGAGACCGATCTCTAATCAAGCATCATCAAACTAAGTGACCTGCTCTGACCTCACCCGTACAGCTGGCGTGGGACAATATCATGAAACATTTGAAACATTGATGGTGGAACCGGGAGAACCGGCAGTACGCCCGATGGTGGTTTGTGTCTGGTCTCTGCGTTCCATGGCGGCGTTCGCATGGCCAGTGGCCTCAACTAAAAGTAACTAAATATAGCTCGAGTCCACGGAGTCCCCGAGGACAGACGCTGTGCAGCCCCCCGTCTGATGGACGGACACCACATACCGTAAACGAGTGCATACATTCATGCAGATGTACAGTAATGACATTCACGTGATATTAAGTAGGAACCTGAACGCCACGAACAACGGAATCAGACAATCAATTCTTCTTCTAAGGGAACCGTGTTGTGGCTTCTACACACCAATCCTGCACACAATAATTGGTGATTTTATCGATGGCTCTGAGTTTCTTGTTGTTCCTGCAGGTCGGAAGAATCTAATATGACGCGGGTGACCCGGAAAGGCCCACAGGTGGCGCTAATGTGCCAAAAACACGACAACGCACTGCGAAAGGTCGGGGAGAAGAAGACAGTCTGCATGTACGGGAACGCCGCTTTCAATATTTATACAACAATGTTTCCGAGGACACGGGTCAGTCAGCAGGTCCGATTATCGACGGGCTGGTCAGTGTCGCTGCTCATTTCCCCACGCAGACCCGAGTGTTGTTTGGGGTTAGATTTTGATTTGTTATTTCATAAGTATTGATATATTTGACTTTGTTTCATGTGCTTTATGATTAAGTGGCTTTTACTAGTATAATCCATCTTTATTTGAAAATTGCACTGTTTTTACAACGCTTTTACAAATGCATCGATTAAAATACTTTCTGACGCCTGGAGTGTCCGTCCATCACCAGGCGCACACAGTCCTGACAGGAAGCGACAACCTTACAAATCATACATGACACCTGGAACACTGTGAGCATGTGAAACGCTTCAGTAGCTGGAAGAACTTAATCTGTTCCAGAGTGGTTGAGTTGGTCCTCGTGTCTGTCCTGTAGGGACGGGCAGCACAGAGGGGTCCTGATCCTGTGTCTCTTTTCACCGTCCTTCTTCCCCAAATCGGCCTGACTGACCTTTTCTCTCTCGGCCGCCCGACTCTTAAAATCATCCTTCCTTAAAGGTTGTGATGAGGCCCCCCAAGCCCCCCAATCCCACCGACTCAGGAGCCGAGTCACATTTAGCCCTCCACAAATGGCCGGAGGCGCTAAGCTACGGCTAGCCCACGCTGGTTAGCGTAGCTAAGCTACGGCTAGCCCACGCTGGTTAGCGTAGCTAAGCTACGGCTAGCCCACGCTGGTTAGCGGAGCTAATTGGGCGCCTGTGTCACGGAGCTCGTGCCGTCTTAAGGAGCAGAGCAGGGACGAGAATAGCAGGAGTTAATCTGCTCTTAAGGCCGCGGCCTCCATCTGTGACGGCCATCTGGACGCCGCCGCGTAACAGGAGACACGCATGGACCAGGCGTGTCCGCATGGCACCGGCAGAGCGCTGGTGGACTGACAGGACACCCGGCACCACAGCTTTCCATTTCTAATCAGGCTGAAAATGACGTCTAACGCGCAGGAAGTCCAGAGCGTGGCGTCGGTTGAGGGGACGTGTTAACAGGCCGTGCTGGTGGGACGGCGCTCACACAGGCTCTGCAGTCACCCGCTCAGGACCATTGTCCTCCCTCCACTTTGCAGCTCTGTCCCCGCGTCCATCCACACACACACACACACACACACACACACACACACACTTTTGTCGGCGTTCACATCCCCCATCTCCAATCTCACCCGTCAGAACCCCTCTCCTCCCCCCCGCGGCAGACAGATGTGGTGCTCGGCGGCACAAAGCCATGCTGAGTTGGCCTATTGATGCGTTTGTCCGGCCCCTGTGGGAGGCCACGCGGATCACTGACCACTGAATAAATGAACACACACACACACACGGGGACAGAAGGGCGACCCCGAGGCGCTTTGCTCCTCATTTATTTCATTCTAGGCTCAACAGGACGACATGTATTCATCTGAAAGGGCTCGATGGTAAAACTACTTCACAGCGCAAGAAAATCAGCCCACATTACAGGAGCTGAAATACCAGATGGACCAATCAGGCTGAATGTCTGAACAATAGAACTACAAATCACCACGGACCTACAAAGGCCTTATTCTACGACCAATCAGTTTCATTGCAATCAGGCAAATATTCCTGACTATAATGTTTATTTAACCTTCATTTTTTTTGAGTTTGCCAACCAACATGAAAAACATAATTCTTACTCCTGCAAAGTGAGCAGACATCGACTTGATGAGCACAACGCAGTAAACAAACTAACAAGTGACCAGTAAGCGGACGGCGCGATGAGTCTCCTTCGTTAAGACTTTTAAAAACAGATTCATACGGTAGAACAATGATTTGAATACGTCAAGCTTGGTCGAGCATTCCAGACTTCTTACCAAAAGCCTATTAAATAAAAGCGCTACCTGAGAATGATGAAGACAACGGTTCTTTTTGGAAATAACGTTTGACGAAGGGGAGTTGGCGCTGATCTCATGACGAGGAGCGTCCACGAGGACGGCGGGTAGTTCGTGGCCTGGGTATTGATCTCATTGTGTGTTTGGTGAGACACAGTCGGAGACATTTCCTGCGAGGTGGCAGTGAGTCATCGTTTGCCCTCAGCCAGGAGGAGGAAGCAGAAGCCCCGTCGGGGACGCGGCGCATCCTCGTTCTGATCACATCCACGAGACAACGAGGACGCTCGGGTCCCAGAGCTGCCTGCCTGGTGCCGACCGCTCCCCTCACAGCTGGGGGGGGGGTCTTCTGGGTCGACCAGATGAAGGTGGAGGTGGAGGCAAATGAAAACGTGCCCCGCTGAGCCCTGGTTGGTGGCACAAACGCCCAGATGGCTGACTTAAGCTGCAGCCCCACAAAGGAGAGGCGGTTTTTCTTTGTAGCGGGAGGTGGGGGGGGGCTGCTGGGTCACAGTGCACCTTCAGGAGTCAGCCGGAGGGTCACCAGGACTTCAGATTCACCCAAAGCAAAACTGGCGTCTCAGACAACGGGGTCCCAAGAAGAAAGCAGCACAAGCTGCCTCCAGAAAGGGGGCCACGGTCGGAGGGGGGGTGGGCTTCTCTTAAAGGACACACGGGTCCTTAATACATTGTACTCCAGTTTAGTCAGAGGAAACCCACCAATCACACGCACGCACACGGGAGGACAGGCTGGACAGACTGCCTCCACCCATCTGCAGATCTGCCACAACGTGTGCAAGTCAAAAAGAGAGAGCAAAGTGGGGGGGCGGCACCACACCCCCACACCTCCCTAACCCATCATTACTGTCCCAAAACGTCCTGGAGTAGCGATGCCGTCCCCTCTTTGCTTGTCCTTTTTTTTTTCCCTTCCGTCTCCGTCACCAACCCCCACCGGCGGCCCCCAGATAACACCATGCAATTAGTGGCTCCTCGTCCCTCCCCCTTCGCTCCCCTTTTCTTCCATCTACATCTCTGAGTCGGTTCCTTCCCTCAGCACGTTTCCAGTGGCGCATTAGAGATCAGAGCGAGCGCAGACACACCCAAAGCCGCCTTCGCCGTCCTCTCCCCGACCCCCCCCCCCCGTCCCGGGTCCTCTCGTTTGTCCGTCCTTCCCTCGGGCCCCTGAACTGACGTGCTGTGACTCTTAAACTGTGGTAACACGCCTACGTGACGGCTTCCTGTCTGGCTACGACACACTTCCTGCTCCCAAGCTGCTAAAACTAGCTTAGAAAATGAACAGCTGGTCCACATGTGGATATTGGTCAGCAGGACAGTTACTCATTTGTCGTCTGAGGTGAGCGAGGCGTCAGGATGCGTCACGCAGTCCCTCCTCCTCCACTTAGATCAGTGTCCATCCGCTCACGAGGGACGAATGCGTCTCTGTAGCTGCTCAATGCTCCGCCGTGTCCACCCGATGGTGCAGCAGCGTGTGCGTCTTCTGCTTGAGCGCCAGCAGATACAAACTGGCTTCAGAGATGTTCACTTGTCCCCACATAGTCGTTGTAGAGAATATTATAAAAATACAGATTATTGGCCTACTTATAATAGCTCAAAAGGATTTAGAATGTAGTACTTTTACATGGGTTGAAGTATAAAGTATGATCGGACGGCAGAGGGACCCACAAAGAACCTCTCCTTCTTTTCTTAAAACCAACTATTCAAATGTGAAAATGAATATTCACACAGGACAGCAGCAGCGGCGCGACGGTCTGCTTTGCTGGTGGGCGCAAACTGTCCTGACTGTGTGTAGCATGAATAAAACAGAGTTCATTTACTTATTTTTATGTAGGTAACATGTTGTTAAATATGCGTAAACTCAAATAAATGACCTATACAAGCGGTTATGTCTCGTTGTATTCATTGGCCCTGTTATTGACGTGTGCACCACCCAGTTGTACCGACGGCCGTAGGTGATGACGCACAACCAAAACGTGCGGAGAACCATGGGGACGCGCATTCTGCTCGCTCACCTGTGGACGTAGTGGAGCTGGTGAACGGAGTCGATGGCCAGCACCATCTCAGCCAGGTAGAACCTGGCCATCTCCTCCGGCAGCCGGTCCTCGAACTTACTGAGCAGAGTCAGCAGATCCCCGCCCACGTAGTAGTCCATGACCAGGTACTAGAGACACCAGGAGAGAGCCGACAGGGGGACAGTTAGCCTTGTTAAGTCACCAGCCTCATCTCAGCATCGGTGAGAGAAGTTCTACGGCGTTGACCATGTTTAATGTCGCCTGGAGGCAAGGACGGGCATCCTTGCGCTGATCAGCCGGGTGAGATCAGTTTATTTGGCAGAGGCAGCATCACAGCTCAGATTTATCAAATACCGCCTAAACAGCTTTCCTGAAGCATAAAACACGGCTACTGAGACATAAATGCACCTGAATACAAATGAGCCCATGTAGAGAGCAGAATACTCAGGTCAAAGGTCAGCATAGCGTGAAGCAGTGAGAGGACTCATGAGGAAAACGGTATCACACACACAAAGAAAAGGTCTGTCGGTTTTTCTTACAGAAACACTCTAAATAGAGAGCTGCACAGGCAGTGGCGTTTCTTTTTTACGCCTTTGGGGAGAGTCCAGGGGGAAGCTTTTGTTATGAGATTGTGGAAATTGGAATGATAAGCAGTCGTGGAATTTAAACCGGGCTCTCAAACAGACACAGAGAGAGAGAGCGAGAGAGAGAGAGAGAGGATGGGCGGGTCGGGTTAGATCGTCGGCCTCCAGCAGCCAATGAGAGACAGGCAGAACAAAGTTATTCTCTTGGTCTTTTATTGAAATGTTCTTTTAGAAGTGGATCCATTCCATGTTGTGGGATGCGGTGGGAAGTGAACGCTGCCGTCACGCAGAGGTGGTGCTGTTAATCAACAGGCGGTTGTAACTTAGAACGAACGTGTTGACGTCTGTGAAGCTGGGCGGGGGGGTCGTGGATGAGTAAAGGTTCAAAGTTCACAGAGAAAGGGTGGAGACCTGGCAGTGGGGACTTTGGGGAATGCGCTTGTGTGCTGCTGCTTATGAGGACACACGTGTTCAGAGAGCAGGAGGAAGGAGGAGGTTCTGCACCAGATTATTGTCGTCCTGGAAGGCGTAGTGCAGCGTGGTGATCCACTGGCAGTCCCCGTTTACCAACACGTCCCGCTCCTCCCGGAAACACGCCGTCTGGGGAAAGCAGCAGCAAACACGACACCGCTCAGATTAAACATCATACTGACCCCCCCCCAGTGCTCCTCAGCTCCTTCACACATGTTCTCTCCCTATAACCTCTTTAGGTAAGTAGCAGCGCCTGAAATTGCCCCCTGAAAAATTGCAGTTGCCCCGCCCAGCTTAGGACATAAACCTGACTTGTCCCTGGAGCTACAGGCACTACTACTAGTGTGTAACACACACACACACACACACACACACAGTGTGGCCCGAGGATTGAAAGACTCGGGGGAGCAACAGGAATGTCAGACGTCAGGCCGTCAGGAAGAGGTCGATGAGCAGAACATGCAGCGTCAGCGTGTAGCAACATGTTCTGAAAGCGGTTAGCGATGGAGGTCCGACTCCACTGCAGATGGTTAATCATAAACCTTCCACTGCATTTTCTTTCAGGGTCCCCCCCCCCCCCCCTCCTCTTCCTTAACACTGCTGTTGGCTTTGCATCCGGAAGCCCGCGGGAGAAGGCCTTTACGCGCCCGTGAGTGGCGCTCACCTCGGCTCGCTTCAGCATCTCCCACTTGTTGAGGATCTTCATGGCGAACACCTTGTCCGTGTTTCTCACTTTCACAACCGCAACCTGCAAAGAGAAGAGCGGCGTGTTAGTGAGAAGGCACCGTGAGCCGTGTAACAACCACAAGCTACGCCGCGCCGTCGTAGCATTGATTATATACAGCGATGTAATGGAGCCAAAGTTCCACATTTCATATCTGGCATCTTTTTTCCCCCCCAACAGGCTGAGGACGGTCGGCAAGAGCTCGTGCGCAATGGGCCATACATGCGATGGATGTGAGAGGATTCCCAGAGCTAAGTGTTAGCCTGTCGGTTAGCCTGTCACCTTACCAGCAATCCGTGACCCTCAGCTCCCGTCTCAACAACAGAACTGCCACGACAAACCTCCCCCGGCTCGGGCTTCACGTTTGGCCAAAAAAGGAGCTGCACAAGTGGCTGTGACGAAGCCCTGCGAGCTCCCAGCCAGACAACACGTCCACGCAAACGCACATCCTGTCTGCTCCCCTACATTCCTGCACATTACTGTGGGACTCTACTCATTCTCATCATAAGGAGTAGGATTAGAACAGACCTTTTCTGAGGGTTAATTGCTGAGGGAAATATGCATAGATTTGTAGGGGGAAAGAAACACACACACACACACACACACGCAAGAAGTGAAACAAACACAGGCGCTCCGTGCAGCAGAGGGGCCTGTAGTCTATTAAATGAGTTGGGGAATGCTGCTAATGCAATACAATGATAACATTCCTGCAGTGTTTGGATTTCCCCTCAGCAGAGGAGCACAGGGGGCTGTTTTGGTCTCTTTCTCCGTCTCTCCTCTGCTCCTTCCGTCATCTTGTCCCTGCTGTCGGCCTGCTGGTCCCAGGAAGGCCTCACAAAGACCAACTTCACAGTTTCTGTTTGGGCTTTTTGTCCTTATATGTGGTTTTTATCAGTTTGGTAACAAACCACAGCAGCCGATTCCACCGGCCCAGTACTGAGATCACACCAGCTAGCTGCCGCCACACAGAAGCAGTGTTGTGATGACACATGTCAAGCAGAACACAACCTACACAGGCTGTTAAACGCTCTGCTTTCAACTGCTGGAGATGCACACCATCCCAAAAGGTAGCTACCATGACAACCAGGCCTGTCGCCATAATCAATATGATGACTTACCATCAGCAGGCTCGGGCAGCGCGCACGCACGCACGCGCACACGCACACACACACACACACACACAGAATGAGAGAAGAGCCGGTTAATGAGAAGGTACGTCGACTTTGTTTAGCAACAGTGGCGACGAAAACAGGCAACACAACGAAGTGTAAAATCTCATCTACACCAACAACCATCCGCCGGCCTTTAACCCACGGTCGGTTCCTCCAGAGGAGCCATGTGATGAAGACAATTAAGGACGAATCAGTGACTCCTAATGGAATCATGGGGCAGCTGACCACTCAAACCTCTGCTCTGCCGTTATTACTGTCGTCCAGGATGTCGTACGCCTTCCTAACTTTGGGATCAAACAGACGCCAAAAAAACTAAACCACCGGTCAACCTCTCGGGAGCTTTCAGGTGCCAGATGCAGACAACTATTTATTTTTTAGTTTTGGCCCCTTCAATCTGCTGCATTTCTGTTTAATACTCCAACACGGCGACATCCACATTACATCTAATAGTAGAGCCACGGGGACATCGTGTCTCTCGAGGACGCACAAAAGCCCCTCTAGCCCAGCTGACCCGGTGAGACGGCTCTGGAATGTTACCACAAGGCAGCAGTTCATGGATCACACGCGCACACAGACACATGACTCGTGCATGCACATACCAGCGCTGCCTGCGTTGGGGGAGAGGTTTCGGATTTGCTGCTGGTAAGGAAAATGTCCCCCGATCTACCTGCGTCCTCCTCCACCCGAGTTCGCTAACCCGGATGGAGGACTTAGCGGATGAAGGACACTTCAGAGGGTGTAGCAGAGGGTGTAGCACAGGGCGTAGCACGGGGTCATCAATTCAGTGCTGAAAGCCAACTAAAACGCAATCGGCAAGACGACACCAGGTCCTGCGCGTCGTGTAGGAGCCGTGGCTGCAGGACCACAACACCCGTCCCTCCGACATTCCGCAGCCTTTACATCATCACCTGAAAGCCAGTGACGCGTCACGTGCAGGCGAAGCGCTCTACATGCGCGCACTGGAGCAAAAAGGAATGCCTGCCTGCACTGGCACTCTGCTGCGTTTACGGTTTCTGGGTTAAACGTGAAAGAACTACCTCTGGTTGTGTTTTTTCAAGCTGCAAGTTGAGTCATGCAGCAGATCAACACGATCCAACCCAACAACACAGCTCAGGTCTTACAGGTACAACACAGCCTGTGAATGGCGGCTACTGTCACAGAGACGTCTTCTGTCAGTAGACAAATAAACGCAGCATGTGCGCCAGATTAACCCCGTTTATGCAAAAGAGAAGCGGAAAGAAGAGATTGAGAACCTGCAATTTGATTGTGTAAAAAAATAAAAAAGGTACATCACCTCTCCAAAGGCTCCTCGTCCAATCACCTTCAGGATCTCAAAGTCCTCCTTATGCAGGCGCATCTGCTTCACTTTGGAAGTGAAGGGTTTGGCTGCGGGGAGAAGGTAGACAGGCTTTAGGCAAAGAGGACAAATGCGAAATATTAAATCCCACCGTCGCTACAAGTTGGTGAAAAAAGATAATTAATATATATATATATATATATATATATATATATATGCAATGCAGACTGAAGTTGACAGTCACCATCATCTAAAACAGGGGCGGGCAAACTTTTGTTTGTGTGAGCTAATATAAATTAAATATATCCAATTACAATTATACGATTTGATTTAATTTAGGTGACTGCAATCGATATTAGACAATACTGTACATCCAATTAATACATTCACAGAAACTCACAAGAGGAAGAAAAGAGGAAAATGTTACTGTGCGGAGCGTATCCTATGAGCACAGCACATGGAAACATGCTTGTGCCATGTGATCACCCTCTAGGGACACACAATGTCCCTCGTCCCTCACTAAAGGCTCGTTGACCCCCCGTGTGCAGCACATGGCGCCGGACGCGTGGAGGCTACATGATAACGCTAGCTATTGTTACCCCTGCGCTTGTGGTTCCTGGTGGGAAAAAGGGGACTCTGGGGGCTCTGACAAAGCTCAACTGATGCCATTTACGGCTGACAAAGTCACCGTGTGTGTGTGTGTGTGTGTGTGTGTGTGTGTGTGTGCGTCATGCTAAACTCCCCTGGTAGCCACAACTTTTCAGAAGAGTGTTGAGGGGAAGGACCTTCCCACTGTGACACATGCAGCAGTAAAGCAAACAGGTCACTGATTGCTCAACAAGCTCCTGCTCACACTGACTCCTCGGACAGCTGCCCCGGCCCGCTGTGACCACGGGGCAGGAGAGGGGGAGCTGCGCGTACATACAGCGGGGTGTTCAGAGCACGCCTGCACCTGCTGGGGCTATTTTGTTGTTCATTTTGCATGTGAAGTTTGGGAGTGAGATCCAGCTGTGTAAAGGATGACGGACCAGACTGTGAGAAACAAGTGAATGTCAAAGCGTCTCACTAAGCGCCCAGCAGGGCGCCACTCTACAGGCACCAGGCCTACCAAGTGTTCCACATGCACTGTGGAAAGTATCGTATGATAGTAGACGCACATCAGACCAGCACCATTACTGCGCTTTCACCGTCAGACAGGACCAATGAATATATCCGTAACGCTTCCTGTTGTTCCCGGATTGATTTAGAGTTTCCATTATTGACGGTAGGAAATACAACCTGTAGAAGGAAAGGGCTGCAGCGGAGAAGCGTGGCGTGCTTATCTGGAAAGACCCCTCAGGAAGTCAATCACAACCCGACAACAGCTTGTTGGCGCACGCAACGCGTTCTCTGAATGCAATCTGCCACGTTGAGACGGTGTCTTTGATTCCGCACAGAAGCGCGTCCGGCTTATCAGCTGCTCGCGGGAATTTCCACCGCGCGGCCAATTCTTCTCAAGGAAAGAAGAACCACAGGTTCTGCCACAGGTTCCTATTTTAGCCCAACGCTAGCCAGGCGTGTGCGATAATGTTAACAGCTAAATCCATCACGAGTGAATCATGTTACAAAGCCGCACAATTATGTTAGAGAACTAACTGATTAGGCAAGAGATTACATCGATTTAATTAGGCTGTTTTTCACACACACACCTTTAGATTCTCCTCATATTAACTTGCTGAGCGCAAACCTACAACAAAAACTAAGTAAATAACTTATTAAAACACGCATTCATCCCGTACTATATCAACACAGTGTGCGACTCATTTACACAATGTGTATTTGAGACATTTCCATTAAGCTTTCATCCGTTCATCTCTGCAACAAGCGTTGTGTTTGGTAGGGCGACGCGTCTCTTGGCGATCTGTGATTGTAGCAGCCGAGCTAAAAGGTTTCCCCATCCCGCTCATTCTGGTCTAACTGCTGACGGGCTGAGGGGCCCGAGGGGAGCCGAGTCAGGCCGGCTAAGAGGAGCACACGCATGCTGAGTCAGGAGCTCCACTGAACCAGCCACATGAGAAACGTCTCTCATCTCTGGCAGGAACACGCACGCACACCGCGTCTTTCTCCAGCCTTGGTAGGAACAACACCGATAAACAGATTTAGAAATTGCTCAGAAATAAAACCATTGACCATCAATGGCAGGTGGTTTACTGAAGCACACGGTGCATATTAACCTGTTATTGTTCCTGCTGACACTTCTAACACTGTTATTAGTGCCACAACTATTACGGTCTAAATTAATGCGCATCACTAACTGACAACTGCTGCTGTGATTAGTATCACATTACCATTACTGTCACCGCAAACCAACGGCACCGCTTCTTTCCTCAAGTCTGTGCTTTCCCTCCCCACAGGTTTCTGTGGACGGTGGGTGCGCCTGACGGTGGTTGCGCCTGACGGTGGTTGCGCCTGACGGTGGTTACGCCTGACGGTGGTTGTATCTGACGGTGGTGGTGGTTACGCCTGACGGTGGTTGTATCTGACGGTGGTTGTGCCTGACGGTGGTTACGCCTGACGGTGGTGGTATCTGACGGTGGTTGTGCCTGACGGTGGTTGCGCCTGACGGTGGTTGCGCCTGACGGTGGTGGTGGTTACGCCTGACGGTGGTTGTATCTGACGGTGGTTGTGCCTGACGGTGGTTGCGCCTGACGGTGGTTGCGCCTGACGGTGGTTGCGCCTGACGGTGGTGGTGGTTACGCCTGACGGTGGTTGTATCTGACGGTGGATGTGCCTGACCGTGGGTGCGCCTGACGGTGGTTGTATCTGACGGTGGATACGCCTGACGGTGGTTGTATATGACGTTGGTGCGCTTTACTGTGATTGTATCTTGTTTGTGGATATGCGTGACAATAATATGCCTGACGGTGATGGTATCTTACTGTGGAGGTGGTTACAACTGACGGTGGGTAAGCCTGAAGGTGGTGTAATCCTAGGGGTGGTGGTGGTTACGCTTGACGATGGGTGCGCCTGACGGTGGTTACGCCTGACGGTGGTTACGCCTGACGGTGGGTGCGCCTGACGGTGGTTACGCCTGACGGTGGGTGCGCCTGACGGTGGTTACGCCTGACGGTGGTTACGCCTGACGGTGGTTACGCCTGACGGTGGTTACGCCTGACGGTGGTTACGCCTGACGGTGGGTGCGCCTGACGGTGGTTGCGCCTGACGGTGGTTACGCCTGACGGTGGTTACGCCTGACGGTGGTTACGCCTGACGGTGGTTACGCCTGACGGTGGGTGCGCCTGACGGTGGGTGCGCCTGACGGTGGTCCTGCCGTACACCTGGCTTACTCCACTGAATATTTGAATGATGTGTGACATAATGTATTGTACTTTGATGCGGTTCATTCCATAGACATCACATCCATTGCCGTCCGTCCATCCCGGTTGAGGGATCCTCCTGTGCCGTTCTCCCTTTTTCCCCCCACAAAAGGGTTTTTCATTTTTTGCCGATGTGAGCGTTTTGGGACGAAGGATGTTGCACGTGTACAGACTGTAAAGCCTCCCGAGGCACATTTGTGATTTTGTGCTGTATAAAATAAAATGAAGATGCAGTATGAAACACTGGAACCACCACGGGCTGTGCTGCCTGAGCCCGCCCCACGTTTACCCAGGGACCAACGCGTCACGCTGCAGATACATTCACAGCAGCGTGCTGCATCCCTTTACAACACAGGAGGAAGAAATAAATACCACATAGTGGTGTCATACATTCTTACTCACTGGCAAAATACGCAGGTAGGCCCAAACATAGCAACCGTTGCTACGACAAGGTGGGGGAGGAAACCCCGGGCCTCGCTAGGGGAGGTAACTATCTGAGCCATAGCATGACTGTAGGTCTTTGTCTGTTTTGCGATGTGCTGGGAAGATGGGCCAAGAACAATGCTTTGGGCCAGCGAATGAGTTTGACACACACGTTGGGCAGCGTGGGCCTGAGGATGCAGGGAAACTGGAAAAACACGAGTGACACCAGCTAATCCGCATAGCCAGACTGGTTTAGCTTAGAAGCGCTGAGGACTTATCGGGCCCATCTTGCTCCGTACCGGCTGAGCCGCTCGTGTGTGAAACTCGACAACTGCGGGTAATTGTGTTCACTCAGCAGCCGGCCCGAGGCCGACGCGCTCGGACCTCTTCCGTGCTGCGCCTCCAGGGCGGGGGGGGGGGGGCGCTGGTCACACCCGTTTGTGACTCTGGGCGGAACTACGCTGTTTATTTGGAATATTCTATATTCTTCTTGTTTCAAAGAAGCTGAATTTAACCACTTTTCCCACCTTTGTCATTTTAAGAACAGTGCAAATGGGAAGCACTGCCATACACTGCAAACATGGCACGAGGCAGTTGTCATGTTCTGTGTTCTTAAGTGCACGATGGCCAGCAGGAAAATAAAGCAGTTGACCTGAGGTCACAGAGCCAATACATCGTCTGTCACACAAGGCCTTCAAATCATCTCCTCAGAGACTGTAGACCCAACTTCAGTCTTAGCAAAGGAACCACAGCGTGTGCGTGTGCATTAGGGAGGAACTGCTGGCGTGCGGCTGTCAGCCGATCAGTGCGTGCTAGCAGAGGCCTGTACTTATCTACAAAGTACATGTATTATTCCTGCAGAAGACAATGCAAATTCAGTAGTGAATCCACCACGAAAGATGAGAAGAGACATAAATAAATGAACGGGGAGTCCCAGGACCATCCAGCTGGACAAAGAGTGACACGAGGGCTAAAGGTCAATCCACACACATTGATTTTTAGGTTCTTGGAGCTCTTTAGCCTCCATTACACTCAACACTCAATTCATATTCTGCTTTATAAATCCACAACAACGCAGAAGAAATTCTCTTTCAGGAACGTTAGTTTGAGAAATTGAACCCCTGAACAGAATATCAAGTGACTTCTTCTGACTCGCTTATTTCAGTCCTCTTGGTCAGACCATTGGATTTATCGAATGTTGGTATGACAACACCTTCTTTTATAAAATACTAAAAAACGGACAGATGTCTGGTGTGAAAGTCTTTTAGCTGAATGAATCTGAATTGGACCTGAATACAGCTGTAGTCCAG